GGCATAAGCTAGACATGCGGGCGGCCGGGTGCCGGGGACGCAGCCCTGCCGCTCTTATTTCAACACATGTCTCTGTTATGAATATTCCAATCATGAAAGTATTACACAATTTATTTGCTCATGGTTTTATCAAAGAGCATTTGGGGGTCTTTCTAAGTTTTGTGGTTATGAACAGTGTTCTTAACCATATCTCCTGGTGTACTTGTAGAGAAGTTGTTTACAAATGTGCTTAGGTCTTAATATAAGTCTTTAACTATAATGAGATATTACCAGATTGTTTTCCAAAGTCAATACATCAATGTTGCATTCTTATTCTCCATATGTTCGTCAACATTTGGCATCACCATTTTTTGACAATTGAAGTTAGTTATTACTTCCCGTGGTATATTTTTTGTTCTTGTGGTATTATGGTTTGGATTGTAAAACTCCTACCAGTTTTTATGTTAAGTACCTGGTTGCCAGTTGGTGGGATTTGGAGAAGTGATTGACTTCTGAGAGTTCTGACCTAATCAATAGATAATCCCTTGATGAATTCATAATATGACAATATTGTTGAAAGGTGTATATATGATGGTTATATTTTATCCTCTTGCATGCCCTTCTGTTTCCTGGCTGTCAAAATAAACTCCTCTTCTATTTCTTCTCCATGTTAATGGATTGAAAACTCTGAAATCATGAGCTGAAATAAACAACTTCTCCATCCATTATTTTTCTATATAAATGTCTTCACAAACATAACTAGTGTGTGCTCTCCTAATCTTCTAGGCACTTCTCAATCTATTCAAGCTGACAATTAAGATTAATCATCCCACGAAGTTTTATTGGGAAAGATGGCTAAGAAAGTCCAGACCTGGTAAAGATCTTAAAGACAGCTTCTAAAAACATGGGAAAGAGATGGACAGACGGTCATAAAATGTTTTACAAATATGTCTTACACATATCTAGTTTCCAGACTCAGACTCACTACATCTTCTCAAAGATGCAGCTGACCCAAGGATGATCGTTTTTAAGTGTCTCCTGAGCCCTTTGGGGAAAATGTAGTACAGACTCACCATGCCCCTGTAACCAGATCCTATGGCGATATTATACAAGCGTGGTGGCGCCCCTCTCAGAAAAGTATGCGGACCTCATGTGAGATTGCATTTTCTTCTAGGGTACGGCATTGGTCTCCCTCCCAACTCTCCGCTGACGTCTAACATATCTGAGCTCATCAGTCAGTACAAGTCTCACGGGTTTATGGATGTGCTACACGACAAGTGGTACAAGGTGGTTCCCTGCGGGAAAAGAAGTTTCGCCGTCACTGAGGTATGGCGAGAATGCTGCTGATGCTGATGCTTTGTATAGCTTTCCTTTGAAAACTATAAGGACTTCAAGTTACTTGTGCCTCCTGATCAATATTGTACCAGGATACTCCATGACACGTAGAGCACCTGGATTTGCTTGAAAAGTGCCCATTCCTACAGTAATGTTCAATGAGACATGTTCGTTTTTCTATTTAAGTGTGATTTTCTTCCAATAGATAAAAATCAGAATTCTACTTCTAGTCCACAAACTATCCTAAAAAAAAATCTGTCAATATAGAAGAAATATTTCTAAATGATAGCAGGAATATTTGGGACTAATATGAATAGTGTTTGCTTTACCCATGAATTGCTGGATCTGATGTAGATTTCACAATATCCCTTAAAAATCTAACTCAGAACATTGCTAAGTCCCCAGTGGTGAAAGTTGAGTAATAAGACCTTTTTTGGTTTAAAAATCTAGACACACCTTAACTAATAATTGTCAGATTATAATGTGGTAATTTTTCAAAACTGAAAACAACCAGTACTTCTTTTATAGTTAAGGAACTAAGAGCAAGAGATACCATGTGACTGGGCCAAGGCACACAAATAGTCAAAATTTCTTCTTTCTGTTGAAATGCTATGTCTTTACAGCATAATTAAAAAGAAGTTTGCAAAATAAAGCACAATTCAGGTGATTCAAATAGGAGACTGAAAACTGTAACCAGTACCACAGTCCAAATACTCTAAAGAGAAGAGCCAAATAAACAAGTCCAAGGCCATCCTGACATTAAAGGGAGAAGAAGAAAACACAGCTCAAGCCAATAATTGTTCAAATAGCCTCTATTTGGCAATAATTCCCAACAGAGTGCATCTCTGCCTTCCTGCATGACATCTGCTCTTGAATGCCCTGCAGGCATCTCAAATTTCACTTGTCCCAACCTGAGCCTTAAGGCTCCCTCTTCACTCTGCTCTTCCTCCTGGGCTTTGCATCTTGGTGGTGGTATGCCTGTGCACCATGTCATTCATTCCACATATTGGCATGGATGCTTCCTCCTGCTCATGTCCACCTTTTCCATCTAGCAACAAGCCATAGATTCTATAAAATAGCTCTCAAATATGTCAATCTCTTGCCAACTCTGGTGTCATTACTCTGCCCACACTGCCATCCCTTACCTCGCTCACTGAAGATGCCTGCTAGTGGGTTTGCTTTGCAGCTACCTCCCTTCAGTTGTCTTCCCCTCAGCAATCCATTCTTCTGTTTGACAGCCATGCTCTCTGGAACAAAATCTGAAATGCTGGCATGCCCCGCGGTGCCTGTCCTTGCTCTCTTCTCAGCCCTTCCCCGTGCCACTTTCTGGTTCATTTTTAAAGAAGATAAATCCATGGCTTCCCTGACTTGGATTCCCTAAACCTGCTGTTGCCTCTTCCCCCCCTCCCCCTCAAATGTTTTTCCCCATTGACATTTTCTCAGCTAATGCCTTCATATAACAAGATCCCAGCTAAGGGACTGCAGATGTACTTCAATGATAGGGTACCTGCCTAGCATGTTCAAGGCCTTTGATTTTATCCCAATGTTACAAAAAAAATATAAATAAATATACAGAAGAGCCAATCCACAGCTCTAACAACTCACAGAGAATAAACCCACAGCTAGCATCTCTCTTCTCCCACAGAGGCTAACAAATATAAATCATGTTTATATTTGTTAATTAATGTTAAATTAATGTTGTTTTTCCTAAAGAAAATAAGCCTGGACTTTTATCAGTCAGCAAGTTCAGCCAAAAAAGAAAGAAAGTCAGTTGCTTATGTTGAGCTAAATAACAATCACTTGAAGTTCTCTGCAGAGTCTGTCCACGACTTAAATCAAAATCTCCAAATGATTAAAATTCGGCAGGAAGGCATTAGCCCTAAGGAAACTCTCAGGCATATTCTCCAGCCAGCATTACTGAATAAATATCACATCCTGGCTACTGCCATTTCAGAGGGTCATCAGACAAACCAAGCCTGTTGCCACTCATGGCTTTGCGGACTTAGAACCTAGCCCCACTTGAGTACAGTATTGAAGACTGAGCCAGATAAGTACTCAAGAATCCCCTGCCGAATGTATTCTGCTCTGAACGCACCTAGCACAAAGGGTGATGTATCTGAAACTGTGTATGTCTGGGCTTGAATGCCGATTCTGTCAAGGAGAGATGGTTAACTACTCTTGCATCTCCGTGCGGGAAAGGATGTGATAAAATGTGCCATTTCTTCCCTAAGAATAAAAGATCATTTGTGGAAGCATCTAGCAAAAAACCTGGTACAGTAACTAGTAAATAACAGAAATACTATTTCTTCTCCCTCTCGTCAGAGGGAAGGAACATTCGACTATTCATAGAAAAATGTACAGAGAGGCCCACAACTAAATTACTTCGTGGTTTGTTGCTAAAAAAAAAAAAAAATGTATCTGCCCGTGTCTAAAACAATCACTGGTGAAATAATGTGACCACCATAATGGATTAGGCCAATAAGAAATCTGAGACCAGTAATGATGCAAACTACCTTATGGAACATAGAGAAGGGTGAAATGTGGTAAGGGGTCCACTTGTTTGTTCCCAAAATAACCACAGAGAAACTGTATTAATTGAATTGTTGCTTGGACCATTAGCTCTAGCTTCTTGGCTAACTCTTACATCTGAATTTAACCCATTTCTAATAATCTGTGTATCGCCATGTAGTTGTGGCTTACCAGGTAAAGTTCCAGCGTCTTTCTCTGGTGGGGCTACATGGCTTCCTTTGACTCGGCCTTCTTTCTACCAGCATTCAGTTTAGTTTTCCCCGCCTACCTAAGTTCTGCCCTGTTATAGGTCCAAAGCAATTTCTTTATTAATCAATGGTAATCACAGTATACAGAGGGGAATCCCACATCAGTGAAGACCTGAACAAAGGGTTACCTTGAGACAGAGGAGGCAACAGAATGAATATACGATAGCCAACAGACTCCTCTGCATACATCCTGGAGATTCTAGAAAGTTACCATCTATACTATGAAATATTTGAATTTTTCAGTCTGTACAGGCTCTGCCTGACGCTCACCCTCGCATATTCTACAGTTCCTGTGTAACCACAGCAAGCAGTCCTGTGTTCACTGGCTACACTGTATCTCCTCCATAAAGGCTCCCTGTTTTCTTTATTCGTTCCACCTATACACAGTTCTCCACCTCTTAGATTGGCTGTTCTGTTCTGTTTTGTAATGCTTTCCCAGAAGACAAAATTCCGCAGAAGCAAAGTAGCTATTAGCACTTCTACCCATTCTTTTCATCAAATGCCTGGCACTGCAACAGGGGCTTGTGCAGAGAAACAAGGATCTTAGGAAAGTCATTTCGTCCAGATCACTCAGCTCCGTCTCCCTTAGGTTCCTGTGAATCATAAATGAAAGGATGGCTTTAGTGTACAAGGCCTCTTCCTCCCCCTTCTTCCCCCCACCGTCACAGGAGAGGGGCAAAGGACACAACATCACAGAAGTAGGCCTGCTTTTGACTGCTCCTCTCCAGAAGGTGCTCTTGGCCTTGGAAGAGAGCCCTTCCTCAGTTTGTTTCTGTCCTCACACTCTATTGTTCCGAGTATTATCCCACTCTGTCTCTTCCCACGGAGCAACTAAACACCCTCCTTCAATCTGAAAAATGTCTGAGTTTGGACAATGATTTATGCGCTCACCTGGTATGAAATCATGAGAGACACTTTTGCCCCTCCATTTCTGGCAGTTAACTATTCGCACTTGGCCTCAAGTGGGAACCTTAATCTAGTCACCTCCCATCTCTTCACAAACCGGAAGCCGTTGAGCTACAGTTTCTCTAGAAGATAAATTCATTTTAAAAAAAAAAAAAATCCAAGGTTTTATCTGCTCCCTAGAGTCACCCAGGATATTGTAAGTCTGGCTCTGCAGAGCAGACTCTGCCAGCTTCCAGAGAGGAATTTGAAATTGACCTCAGACGTATCCCCACAGTCCTCATAGCCCAGCTGTGTCCTACCACAGCCGACTCGCCGCTGATCAGTTCTGCTGGGGAAAACATATGGCAGGGTATAAATTCCCTTCATCTTCCTTTGACTCAGCAGAAAATCCAATGCCAGTTTTTTTAAGTCCCAGAGTGAATTTAAGAACTCCGCGGCAACAGTCCTTTGAAACCTGTTTTGAAGAACCAGGGAAGGGAGGCAGCTGATTACAGTTTAACAAGTTGCCCAAATTCAAATGTGTCAAGGCGTTACTCAGATGGATGACAAGGCCTCTCTTTGCAAGTGTCCTTGAAACAATGTTTTGAATAATTGCACCTTTTAACTAAAAGAGACTGAAAGGAAGAAGAAATCTTGGTCTTGGCTGAGAGCAGAAAGCATCCTCACAGACAGAGGGGAGTTTTAAGATTAAAAGCTCCTTGAGATCATGTTGTTTGAAGAAGTCAGCACAACTCCAAGACTGGATAAAGAGATGCCACCATTACCATTCACAGGCTGTAGGGAGAAAATGGGGAGAGCCATTGTCAGAATCAAGGCAAGTAATGGGATTGGGTTTTCTCAGAAATTGGCCATTTGGTTCGTGGCATTTGATATAAATTTGGTGGAGAGCTTGCCAACATGCCCAAATCCCTAGGTTCAGTCACAAGGACCACAAAGACGGAAAAGAGGGAGGAGATGGTCATTTAGTTAGGGCTGAGCCACCCTCTTCGCCTCACTGTAAGAGAGCTAGGGAACAAATGCCCTTTCTCCATCTCTCCCACTCTCAGATCTTTTACCTCTGTCTTGGGGTAAAAAAGCCTGACTGTGTGCTCACTTGAAGTCAATTCCAGGACACGAAGAAGGATGAAGAAAAATATAAATAAATTTGGAAAGGAAATAGTCATCTAGCACATCCCTTTGTGGTAGAAAAGAAAGGGATGGGCCAGTGAAGCATCCCTGGCCTGGCCTTCAGAGCTCTGTTGCATAGACATTAGAAAGTCCAGCCTGTTGGGTAAAAGATGCAGCCATCCTTAGTCAGGATGGTGAGAGAAGTAGAAGCTGAGTTCACTGGAGATCACCCTGGTTCTACTACCACAGTAAGGAGGCGGCTCAAATGCTCAGGGAATCTACTTGATCTATCCGAAGCTTCAGGCTGTTGACTATCTTGTTGCTACAAGGGCTTTTGGATTGAATATAATGGTTGCTACTGAGAACTAAAGAAAAAAGCAGATAGTAATCAAGAGGTTCAGTGTTGTAGAGACAGTTCTATCCTGGGATTGGGGAAAATAAGTATATTTAAAAACATTGCAAAAGTAAATCATTAAGTTTCTCAGTGTATCTTTTTTAAGTCACTTATTTTTCTTTCATTACTTAAATTGTTTCCATAGGATGCACTTTGATCATGATTACACTACTCTCACTTCCTCCCAGTTCCTCCCCACTGCCTGCCCCTCCAACTTCCTGTTATACAGCAAAATATTCATCTGGAATCTCTACCTATTCCTGAATTGACCTCTTCCCAACCACTAGCCCTAACCTAGCTTTTCATCCTCTGATTGGCTTGGCCTTCCCAAACCTCAAACACTGTCCCCTATGGTGTGGGTCTTCAAGGCAGGGATGAAGTGAGAGTCTGTCAAGCTCACTGTGAGGCAATTTTAAAAGCTGAAGTTTAAATGGCTCGTTCCTTAGGAGCACTGGATAGGTAGGTACAGAAGTCATAAAAAATGACCGTGGTCAAAAAGGGCACAGTAAGATGTCACAAACGCAAATTATCTACCTCAATGAGTGGCTTCCCTTTGAAAATGGAGATGCCACTTTGCATTCCTAGCTTGGAAGAAGGAGATAGAATACATGAGCTTCTCAACCCATGGGTGCTGAATACAGATGGCCCTTTTCAGATTTGTCTGGGTTGTGCCGTGAGGCAATTGTGTGACCTCTGCAGATCAGTTCACTTCTCCGCCCGGTTCCTTGTCTTAAATAAAAGATCTATGTGGCATAGCAGGCAGAGAAAGCAGTGGTTTCCAATGAGAACTGTTAGAGGAATCCTGACCTAGCCAGCTGAAGATTGGGGAGCACAGAACACAGAGAGGATACTGAGATGTCTAGCCTCCAGTCTGCCCTTCCCATCATGAGCCAGACTGACTGACTCCCCAAAGCTACCAAATTATGTACCTGTTTATGCTAACAACTGTTCAAATATTAGTATTTGCTCACTGAGAAGCACAAAATTAAGGGCTAGTTTTCCCGTAGTAGATTCATTTTCCTTCTGTCCATTTTTAGAGAGAGAGAAGAAATGAGTCAGTCAATCTGGAATATTATGTATCCCGATGGGCTCCATAGTTTGTACACTGGGTCTTCAGCCGGGGGTACTATTTTGGAAAGCTGTAAAGCCTTGAAGAGGAGGACTCTTTCTGGAAGAAGCAAGCTCTTAGGAATAGGCCTTGGGGATGTTGTGCTCTGGCCTCACTTACGATCTGCCTCTACTTCCCGAGCACAGATGCAGTGGGAATGGATGTCTCTGTCTCCCGCCTTCATGCCTTCTCCTCCATAGCAGACTATATCCCTCCAGCTGAGGCCAAACAAACCCTTTCTGCATTAGGTTGCTTCAGGTACTTAATGACAACAGTGAGAAAAAAAAAAAACCAGTACAGCCCACCATACTATGGAAGTCAAAGGGGACCCCGCAAATCCCAACTAGAAGCTTCCATGCCAGCTTCCCATCAGTTAATCTTTAATATATTAACAACCCGAAAGCGGTGGTTAAGACAGAAGGTGGCAGGGGGTAGATTTCAGTGCAGCATTTTCTGCTCTTGACAGGGAGGGCACATCTCAGCACCCTTCTGTCCCCCTCATTTCTACCTCCTCCCATTTCAATTTCAAATGACTGTCTGCTGCTCAGCCTGCTGGACGCTATAGTGAGGCAGAGAGTTAATGACTGTAGGTTGCTTTAAACTGAAAACTCGAGCATGTAGGAAGCCACCTTGAAAGCTGAACATGTCCCTTGGAATAGCCTAAGTAATTAAGTTTAATATTTAAGCCAAGCATAAGGTTGGGTGGGACCTATCCAGGGAGCACTTTCTGGAATCCCAAAGAAGCTCAAAGCTGTCCCTGTGCCCTTTCATACGTGATGCTAACAGGGCACGAGGAAGGCAATCTGAGAAAGCCTCGCCTCCATCGAGGTGGCTTCCAGAACAACCCAGACATTCACTCATGCATCCGCAAGTCCACCTTTCCATCAGCACACATGTATTCCAGGTATTATAGATATTCCAGGTGTTCCAGGTTCTGTGGATGCAGCCAGTATAGAAATGAATACAGAGCTCACAGGCAGGGAGACAGAGAGAAAAGGGGGGAGAGAGAGAGAGAGAGAGAGAGAGAGAGAGAGAGAGAGACCATGAACAAACAGTGACGAAAGCAAGGTCATGACTCACAGACCAAGAAAGAATCAAAGCTGGTGTCTCAAAGGAGGTAATACGTACAGGGATTAAAATAAAATAAAATAAAATAAAAACTACCCATACCCAGGCAAGGTGGAAGTGAGACATTGGAGGCAATGAAATAATAAGTACTGCAACGTATGCCTACCCCTGAAAACAGTTCCCAATTGTGCATGCCTCAGGGATTCTAAAATTGCAGGGGCATTCTTTCCCCCATCCAAGTGGTGGATACACACAGCTAAACTCACAAGCCAATTATAGGCCTTTAATATTTCCTGTATTCTGCTTTGTGGAATCCTTACCACCTCTTCAAGGCAGGAACATTGTTCTAGGCTTCATATAGGGCACAGCCTGGTACAACGAAGAATTTGGTTCTAAAAGAGACAGCAACATGGACTCACGGCTCACCAGTGTGTGCTTATATAAGTCAGACAGCTTCTAACATTTCAGACCTAGAAGCCATCAAGATTGTTCGAGGGGTAGCAGCATTTGCTGTTGGATAAACTGAGGGTTTTGGTGCCAGGTGTATAAACTAAAGACATGACTGCTCTAAGGTGTGTTGAGGGGGAGGGTTTGGGGTTTTTTTTGGTTTGTTTTTTTGTTTGTTTGTTTGTTTTTGTTTTTGTTTTTTCGAGACAGGGTTTCTCTGTAGCTTTTGCCTGTCCCGGAACTAGCTCTTGTAGACCAGGCTGGCCTCGAACTCCCAGAGATCCGCCTGCCTCTGCCTCCCGAGTACTGGGATTAAAGGTGTGTGCCACCACCGCCCGGCGAGGGGGAGGTTTTTATTGTAGACATGCAGGAGAGTATAGCCAGAGCCATCTGAAAGAGTCCCAAGCAAAGAGAGAAAGCAATACACGAAACATGGCCAGTAGACTAAACTGGGCCTTGAGAGGAGAAATAGTATTGGGGTGGGGGTAGTAGAAGGGAGGGAGAGAAAAGGAGACAACCAAGAGAGAGAAATATGGGGAGGCAAGAAAGAGGGGTCCAAGAGAGGAAGACAAAACAGAGCACATGGCTGAAATGACAGGGTTCTGTGGGATTGAGAAGCTGGGGGAGGGAGGGAAGCCCATGAGCTGGAGAGGGTTAAGGTTGGGGCTGAGAAGGGCTAAGAAGAGCACTGGTAGCTGGGATACTGCAGGAGCCTGGCGGCCATCATGTACTTCAGTTTGCTAATCAGAATCGCAGGAAGCCTTTTGTCCCTAGTTCACTTTGGACCTGACAGCTGCCAAGCCTGATGAGCTGAGCTCCCTGTCTGGACCCTCTGGTGAAGGGAGAGACCACACTAGCATGGGTTGTCCTGTGACCTCCACATGTGTGCTCTGGCATGAGTGCATTCCACATACACACCCACAGAGAGATAAATGAATAAGTACAGTAGATTCCGTAAATGATTAAAACTTCATATATTCCCCTTCAAAGCCAAGGATACGATAAGGCCTGCCGAAAAGTGTGAAGTCCATTTAACGAAGCTGTCAGTGGAAATGTCTGGTAAATGAGTGTTCTTTCTCTTTCCCTGAGTAAGATCTATGTTCAATCCAAGCACGGTGGCACAGGCCTATAACCCCAGCAATCAGGAACCGAGTCAAGGGCACCATGAGATTGAAGCCAGTCTAGGCTACACAGAAAGAACCCATCTACAAGTTTAAAAATAAATAAATCAAAGAAGAAAGAAAGAAAAGAAAAGACAGAAAAAAATAAAAATAAAGCAAAGCAACAACAAATAAAAACTAAAACTGAAAGTAAACACCACCAAATTATGTGGAAAGAAGAAAACAACTTGGTAAATAATAATAATTTAAAAAAAAACTTACCTCCCATCAGGCTTTGCGTTTGTCTCATCCTAAATCTTGGATTCATCTGCACCCACCTCCAAAACAGACACGTCTGTCACCAGCATCTTACAGCTCCTGGCTGGCTAGTTATTACTTTCCTGTGGACCTGGAGACCTCCTGATGGCTGGGAGAGAAATCCCCGATTCTGGACCTTCTCCCGGGCTGTATGCTGATGCTCTAGCTTTTGGAGCGTGGTGCTATTGTTTGTTTGCTTTCCTTTCTTCCGGCGCTGCATCTAGGTTTCCATGGGGAAACATCATATGGAAAGGGCTAGACAAACCATTAGGCAGCACTGAAATACATCCAGAGAAAGAGTAACAACTCCAGCCCACACTGCTCTGGGGCCCGCAGCCCACGCGTCGGGCTTTGCTTCCCCCTCACCGTGCCATATCAGCAGTGTCAAGCCTGCCTGTCTGTTGCTTTCTGGTTTGTATAGTTTGAACCCCGCTACCGGGAAAGGCAATCCAGCAAGTGTCCCCTTCAACCGTGGTAACGAGCAAATAAACAGATCTTGTGGAATAAGGGTCTCCTCTTTTGCATTCCAGAGAGGCCCAGACATAAATCACACCCAAGACCACATACTGTTAGTAGTTCCTGCTTTTCTCCCTAAATTCCTCGAACTAATGAATATTTATGAAACGTCATTTGCTATGCAACGCGAAGGCCTGAACAGCGCTCGCACTGATTAGGGCTGTTGCGAGAGACAGGTTTCTTCCCATTTTCCCAGATTTCCGAGCCCTGACGCCTACGGGGCGTCTCACAAATGAGGACTCCTCCCTCACCTACTTTCTGCACACCAAACCTGGCCTCCAGGCTCGGGAGATTCCAGCTTGACGAAAACAAGGACTGGCGGTGGGAAGAGACTGCCATCTAGTGGCTCTGAATTCAGTGAGGGGTTGCAGAATAGAAAAATGATGCTTTGCCTCTCAGAAAAGAATGTTTTGCATGGACGAGTGGAAGGGTTGCTCAGCCCGTTAGGTTCTTAGGACACTTCTTTCCCGTGTGAAGAACTGGAGTAGGTGGAATCTGCGGGACTTATTAGACAAGGAAGCGACAATTTGAGGAGCCCCAGAGCCGAGCCCTTAAAGGGATGTCTGCCTGCAACATCTAAGCAAGGAGGTCATGATATAACTGGAAGTTTCTCTCCCACCCACCAGTTCCAGAATAATCACTCTGAGACTTAATATTAATTACAAACTGTTTGACCGATGGCTCGGGCTTCTTACTGGATACCTCTACATATAAATTAAGCCATTTAATTAGTCTATACTTCACCACGAGGCTCGTGGCTTGTCACCTCACATCTTGCTTCTACAGCGGCTGCTGGCATCTCTCAGACTCTGCCTTCGTTTCCCTTTATCTTTGCTTGGATTTCCCACCTGACTCTATTCTGCCTGGCTATTGGCCAAATCAGCTTCTTTATTGACCAATGGTAATACAACATATTCACAGCGTACAGAAGAGCTTCCCACATGACCAGGGACTTCCCATTTAGATCATTATCGTTACTTCCTGCCTCTATCCTTCCAGAAAATTGAACTCCAGGCCTTGAGCCATGGAGTATACCATTTTTCTCCAATGGGATGCTGCCTTTCCAGGGCTCAACCAAAGTACCTCAGAAATGTGATCTGGTTTGTGCATAGGACACAGTCAGTGCATGGAAAGGGCCTTGATGTTTAGTCACACTACAGAAAGATGGGTCCCAAAACACAATATGACTCACGTCCTTATTAGAAGACAGCTACCAAGTGAAATGGAGACTCCCCGGGAGAATAGCATGTGACGAAGGTGACATTGGGTTTAAGTGACTGCGAGCCAAACCAGTCAGCTTTCCATTACTCTCACAACATAGCTGGGATGAACATTTTGTTAAAGGGAAAACCTCAATAGAACTTACAGCTTGGAAGTTTTTAGTCCATCATAAATTAGGCCTGATGCTTTGGGGTCTCTGGTATGGTGGCACATTATGATGGAAAACCGGTCTGTCTGCTTCACGCTGGGATACAAAGAGGATAGGGACTGCGATCTCACTGTCCCCTTTAAGAGCAAGTCCAGCAGCAATAGTACAGAAGAGGCCTGAACTGGCCATCTTCTGTAATTAGATTGGTACCTACCCTAATTGTCATCAGAAAGCCTTCATCCAGTAACTGATGGAAACAGATGCAGAGACCCAGAGCCAAGAATGAAGCCAAGCTCTGGGAATCCTTTTGAAGAGAGAGAGGAAGGATTATACAAGCCAGGAGGTTCAAGGTCATTACAAGGGAACCCACAGAAACAACTAACCTGGGCTCATATGAGCTTACAGACTCTGGACGAATAGCTAAAGATCCTGCATGGGACTGACCTAGGCCCTCTAAATATGTGTGACAATTGTGTAGCTTGGTCTATTTGTGGGACTCGTAGCAGTGGGATCGGGGTCTGTTCCTAATGCTTGAACTGGCTCTTAAGAACCTGTTCCTCATACTTGGTTGCCTCACCCAGCCCTAATACAAAGTGGGAGGAGCTTAGTCCTGCTTCAACTTGATATGCCATGCTTTGTTGGCACCCATGGGAGGCCTGCCCCTTTCTGAAAAGAAACAGAGAAGGAGTAAGGAGTGGAAGAGGAACAGAGGGGAGAGGGTGGAGAACAGTAGAAGAGGAAGAAGAGATAACCGCAGTTGGGATGTAAACTGAATGAAAAAATAATTAATAAAAATCTTCATCAAAAAAAGGAGCGATGGGCTGGAGAGATGGCTCAGTGGCTAAGAGCACTGACTGCTCTACCAGAGGTCCTGAGTTCAATTCCCAGCAACCACATGGTGACTCACAACCATCTATGATGAGACCCAGTGCCCCCTTCTGGCCTGCTGGGCACACATGGAAGGAATGTTGTATACATAATAAAAAATAAATAAATATGAAAAAAGGAGCGAGAATGGGATCTTACTACCCCCTTTAAGAGCTCAGTCCTCAATAAGCAGAAAGCCTCCCACTAGGCCCTACTTCTGGAAGTTTCCACTGTGTCTCAGTAGGAGGGCCCTAGAGTACAGTTTGGATTCCCCTGAAAACCAGATAATGGCACTGAGAAAGGCCAAGTCACCAGGAGCAAGGGAAGGCAGAGAAGAATGATCCTGCTGGTATCTGAGGGTCATGATCCTGCCAGCTTCTTTATTAAGGATGGCAGGTCCCAACACGAAAGGCAGCTGACATGAAGGTACCTGGATGACATCTACAGCTGTGGCACTTGTCTACCCTGTGTCTAGGAGGACCGTGTATTTCTTCAGAAAAAAAAGCCTCTGTTTACTGCCAGAAAAAGAACATTTCACTCCTTTGATGGCATCTTTCATTTTATACCTTCTCTTTCAATTTGTTACAACTCTCTTGTAGCACAAATTCTAATTGGTCTTAATAATAGAAACCTAGAGTCAGATATTAGGGAGTGAAAACTGAGAGATCAAAGAAGCAGAGCAGCCAGTCATTATTTCTTACCTCTACAAAATCCTCAGGCTATCCTGTCTTTACAAGTCCCCAGACTGAATGCTGTTTTTAAGAAATCTCAGACTAAATTCTAAGCACCTGCCTCCTCCTGCCTTATAGTCCTCTCTCCACCTAGCCCAGCCATATCTCTTCCGGTCTCCACCTCCCTAGTTCTGGGATTAAAAGGCGTTAGCTATCACCACTTGGCTCTGTTTCTCTTTTAGACTAATTCAATCTTGTGTAGCCCAGTGTGGCCTTGAGCTCACAGAGATCTGTCTGCCTCTGTCTCCCAAGTACTGAGATTAAAGGTGTCTGCCACCACTGCCTGGCCTCTGTGGCTAACTAGTGTGGCTAGCTCCACACTCTGACCTTCAGGCAGGCTTTATTTAAGAACAAACAAAATATTACCACATAGGAGTCCATCATCAGAGGCAGGGATAGCCTCTGAAAGTCCACAGAACTTTGTATGGTTGGTGAGCCCATAAGATATAACTGAATACTACACAGTGCCTTTTCTCCAGAGCCTAGGGCATGGACAAGTCTCGTTCCACCTCACCTAATGTGACTGCTGTCCCTTGACTTCTCTGCTCTAGCCTCACAGCTCTTCTTTAGGTCGCTGTCATCCTCTTTGTTCCCCTTGTTCTAGTGTTTTATCATGAGGGGTTTTTTCCATTTGGAATGCCCACCTCTTCCAAAACCTTCTAGTTAACCACTTCTACTCCTGAGATTTCACTTCCTGTTGAATGAACGTTTGGAAACCCCGTATCTCTCACCCATACTACATAGCACAGAGGCTCCATTATACGTCAGAATGTGATGATTTTCTTAATATCCATCTGCTGAGTCTACTCTTTAGGCAACTTTTCACCCAGTAGCTATGGGATAACTACTTGCATCCATAGAATTACATATATATTCACCTAGTTATTGGTATTCTAAACAGCCTATTAGAACATTAAGTTAAGTCTACAGTAGGCAAAAATTGCTGCTTCTGCCAATTCTGTCCTTGGCATTGAACCTGGTCTTCACATCCTATCTTAGTCTTAGGAATGAGTCTATGAGTTAGCAATCATCGTCTCGTTTTTCCAAATGAATGGTGATTTGGATAATTAATTCTGCTGGAGGTCACAGAATCGTTAAATATCACAACTTTAATTTAAAACTATATGTGTCAAAACTCATATTAAAAACTATCCCAGAATGACAAAAGAAATACAGATACATTGTGATCTCTAATCCTTTTGAATATACATGATAACCATAAAAGAATGAATAAACAATGTTATACCCTTAAATCCATGCCCATTGAACTAGACTTCTCAAAAGTCAGATCTCATGAACTAGACTTCGCAAAAGTCAGATCTCAGTTACTCCAGGGACTGTGTGCCACCCATCTTCCCCACAGGAAGGCCCACCATATAGGATATGTTCAATAAAATATATTGGATTTAAGCTTGAAGCAATGTTCCTGACATTCAAATAAAATAAAAGGAATGTAGTCAGAGCAAGTAAATAAATAGGAAAATGGGGCAAGAGAGATGATTCGGTGGTTAGGAGCACCGGCTGGTCTTTCAGAGAACACAGGTCCCATTCCCAGCACATACACAGTAATAGAAAGAAAAGGAGAGAGAGAGAGAGAGAGAGAGAGAGAGAGGGAGAGAGGGAGAGAGAGAGAGAGAGAATAAAGAAAAAGAAAGGACGGAGGGAGGGAGGAAGGAAAGAAGGGAGAGGGGGAAAACTCTTAATTAAAAAGAGAAACAGGAAGGAGACAGGATAGACAAATCTATCAAGTGCCCATGGTGTGTCACAGCCGATTAGATGCATTTTAAACAGTTTCACTTTGGGTGGTATCGTCTATATATCAAAGCACCTGCAATAACCCTATGGCTTCATTCTTTGCTTCCTGCTTTGCTGCTGAGAACCTGATACTCAGAAACAATGTGAGCTCAGGGCCTAGGCTACAACTTAAGCTGCCATTCTTCACACTGCACTGTGGCTCACACCAATACAGTTGTGTTGAGTGTGGCTCTGAGTAACACCATAGAAGCCCTTCCAGGAGAGGTTTGGGGTTCTGCCTGTGTCGTCTTGCTCAGAAACCCGCTCTCCTGACTGACAAGGAGAAGGGAGTGGAAGACAAACCACATATCCCACCGCTTCCAAGTTTGTTATCAGTTATTCGTGAATGCGACTGTCTCCTGGCTCTTAATCTGAAAGACACTGAGGAAAAAAAAATCAGACTGAGGGGAAATGCTTTGTGAAAACAGGTGTGCCGTCAGGCTTCGGATTTCTTCCAAATCCATCAACCCTTTTCATTCACTGCAGTCTGCATACTCTGCAGTGATACACGGAGCAAGCAACAAACGGTGCTTTCCAAGGAAATGACTGCGAATAACGGATGGCTAGAGAAGATGGAAACAATGGCTTGGGTCCCCGTATGATGCCAAAGTACAAAGCAGATGACGTGCAGAACAACAGCGAACTCAACCTCACACTGACTGACTACTCCACCTTTCAAGATGGTGTCGAACTCTCTACAATGCAGAGACTGAAAGGAATCTTTCTGTATGTTGGAGACATTTAAATGAAGTAGCGCCGTCTCCCCAGAAGTGTCTGTCCAATCATTAGATCATTAATTCTTGGGACGACTTTTCTCCTCATGAAAGATTTCTCTGTCTACTCCCTAATCTACCCATCACAATCATCACGTGAGGAGGTGTGTTCATGCATCTGGGGGTTCAGGTGGGTGCACGTGTGTATATTGTTCGGGATCAGAAGTCAACCTTGGGTATCATTCCTCAAGCATCATCTACATTGCTTTTCCAACGCTGCATCTACTCCTGGCCTGGAGCTCACCTAGAAGGTTAGGCTGGCGGTCAAGCAAGCCCCAGGAATACTCTTGTCCTGCCTTCCTGGTTCTGGGATTACAAGCACATATCCATTTCTGCCTCCTGGTAACAGCTGGTGGCTCCTTTACAGCAGTAAGCATCAAATAATTATCAAAAAAAAAAAAAAAAAAACCTGTAAGGAATCTGTGAATGCCTGGTGGCCATCACTGAGATCCAGAAGCCTGCAATGAGAAGTCTTCAGAGGCTGAATCGAAGAGCCAAAAGTCATGATGGCAAGTCCTTAGAGCAGTGTGTGGCAGCAGAATGCAATCAACATCTAAAAAGTCCGTCTGTCCTTCCTTCCATTCCTTTCTTTCTTTTCCTTCGTTTTTTTTTCAACATGTTCTAGTTCACAGTCCATTTTTAATAAAAGACGATCATTTTTAACGAAATGAAACTGCCATGGTTCCTTAGGTCTGTCGTGCTTGGCAGAGGTTGTGAAAAGGTCAGGCCTGGCTGCCTGATGGATCAAAGAGCCACACCAAAGAAGTGGGTGATAAGAGCCAATTGTCAGCCACAGTTAGTAGCTGAAACTTGCTGCCTTCCATCTTGTTGTATTAGTTACAATTTCCTATGGCTGTAATAAAACACCATGTCCAGTACAAATTATAAAAGAATACGTCAGTTTGGGTTTACACTTCCAGGTTAGAGTCCATGATGGTGGAGCAAAGACAAGGCAGGCTGCAGGAACCGCTGAGAGCTCACATCTTAATCCACAAGGAGACAGAGAGCACAATGGGAATGGCATGAGCCTTTCGAAACCTCAAGCTTGCCTCCAGGGACACCTCTTCCAACACCCCCTAATTAAACAGTTCCACCAACCGAAGACCTTTGGGAGTCACGATCACCCAGACCCCCACACCTGCCCAGGTCCCTCGTGACTCTCTCATCAGCTGCCTGGTTCTACAAGTAGACACTGTGCATCATGTGACTGTCTGTCCCCTTTGGCCAAGTGAGAGATTGCAGGTGGTACTAGGTAAAGCTGATGTCTTCCTCTGCCTTGCCTACATTTGAAGATCTACCTCGGGGGATAGCCTTTGGCCTGGCTTCTACTTCCGTTCCAGTAGAAGGCCTTCCCACTCTGTACCCCTCAATGCCAAGCACCCTACCTTGTGCTCCCCATCCCTGCTGAATACAGAAGAAAGCTTAGGTAGGAGAGGGAGGCCCACATGGCGTTGTGTTCTGATAGACTATAGCACAACCACCCCCCCATTCTCCCTGCACCCCCACACACGTAAATCTTACCTGTGTGCCTTGGCCCCCAGTTCGATATGCCTTCACTAAGACCCCTTAGGGGCTTCATGTCTGCCTTTGGTGACGTGTAGCATAGGAGTTGAGAGTGGGGCAAGTAGGGTGGTCATGGGTCTGGTCCCTTGACTGGGTCCTCAAGGAACCTTGTCTGAAATTCTCTGGTCGAGGTCTGTCCACTGATGTGGGTTTATTTGCTCTGGGCCTAAGCCTTCCTAGTAGTGTGGAGTTCTCTGGACACCCTGGGGAAAGTTTGTGCTGCCCCCGTCCTGCGGCTAAAATCAGAAGTTGTTTTCACTGCAGTGCTACAGGCTCCACCAGACGATTCACCCGGTTATCCACTAAAGCCTGCGGATAAGACTTAGCATCTGTTGTGGCTCTTTCCCAGCAAATGCTTGTTAAATGTACACATACACAAACATGCCCTGGACTGCCAGACAGTCTTCCTTTAAGATGTTGACTATATTAGCACAGAACATAAAAATAAAATTCGGGGGCTGGAGAGATGGCTCAGAGGTTAAGAGCGTTGCCTGCTCTTCCAAAGGTCCTGAGTTCAATTCCCAGCAACCACATGGTGGCTCACAGCCATCTGTAATGGAATCTTCTGGCTTGCAGGCATACACACAGACAGAATATTGTGTACATAATAAATAATAAAATAAAAAAAAATTCGTTAAGAATAGTGGCAATGATCATGTTGGCCATGATCATTCAGCCCAAAGCCACATGAGCCCATACAGAGTATTATCAGCCCAACAGCTCTCTCTTGAGAGAAGAAAGCTAACATCAGGCACCCTCAGGGCTTGCCTATCTCCCACCCCCAATCTAGAAAAATTGAGGCACTCTAGAAAGGACAGAGAGCAGAGCGAGGGGGAGAGTGGCATTCGGAGACCTGCACTGATGTCAGCGTCTTACATTACAATTTAAGGTGATCTCTACCCACTCCGTTTTGAGATAGCCACACTATGTAGCCACAGTGAGTTAGAACTCCTGAGCCTCCTGCCTCGGTCTCCCCCAGTGCTGAGATTACAAATACATGGAACCTTCACAGCTTGGTGATTCCCTTTAACATTGCAAGTTCAAAAAGGTTTTACAGAAACTATGCCTTGTTCATTTCTCTGGGTAACTGGAAAGCAAGCAAATAAGACAAAACATGTCTGCAGTAAAACAGCACAGCATGAGTTGTAAAGGGTATTTAAAATAATAATAATAATAAATAATAATAATAATAATAATAATAATAATAATGCCAATGGAAGGACTCCAGAGACAGCTCAACCCTCAGTGCGTGTACTGCTCCTGCAGAGGACCGGAGCTTGATTTGTAGCACCCACATCAACTGGCTCATCATTGCCCCTAACTCCAGCTCCAGGGAATCTGATACCTTCCTCTCCCCTCCAGACACCTTCATTCATATGCACACACCTCCATACAGACATGCACTTATCAAAAACAAAAACAAGTCTTTAAAAAAAAACAATAAATTATTCCTTACTTTTCTATCCCTGAGATAAACATCACGACAAATTCAAGCGATAGAAGAAAGGGCTTACTTGGGGGTTTTGCTTCCAGAGGAATAGGAGTCCATCACCATCACCCTGGAGGCATTTGTAGCAACTGGAACAAAACAGAAAGCAAAGAGCAAACTAAAGATGGTGCAAGTCTCTTAAACCTGAAACCCTTTTCCAGGGATAAACTTCCTGAAGAAAGGCCACACCTCTTAGACCTCCCTAAACGATGCTACCAAGTAGAGACCAAATATTCAAATGCCAATGCCTGTGGTGGGGACATTCTTATTCAAACCACCGCAATTATCATCTTTTTTTACAGAGAAAATGAAAATGGCCCAGTGGCTCACTGCACCAATTTCCCATGGACCTTCCAGCTAATCTTCCTTTGAACTAAAGAGCATAGACATGATATGCACTGGTTTTAGGGAGTGAGGGGGACGCTTGCCTCCCTCAGCTTGGTTTAGCAGCCTGAAGTTCCCCCAAGTACCTTTGAACTAGATTGTTTTTGAACTACATGTATTTTTTTCAACGTTGAGAGAATTGGAGCCGCTACTCCAAAGGAAAGCGAGATTAATTCTGGCTGAAAGAACAAACCTAGCGGGATGGATGGAGGACGATGAGAAACGTAAGCTGCCCCTCTCGGCACACACAGACCTTCCCTGGACACTCTCCAAAGGCTCCAACATGTTCTGTGGGAAAGCCAGCCCCGGCACAGGCCCGGAGACAAGTCACCGAGCAACAGAGGCCTTGTTCTTGGGAACAGTGGGTTTTGTTTACTTTTTACTTTTTGAAAGTGCTCTGAATTAAGAAGTTTTTGTAATTCTCGAGAGTATTTGGTGTCTGTAAATCTGAGTAAGAAATTCCTTTTCTTGGGAATCTTCTGAGCCTCGGTTCCTGACAGAGGTCCATGTCAGTCTGGCTGCACCTAGGGAGAATTATGGGGAATTCACTTTATATCAATGCTTGGACCATCATTTTAGCGGACTCTTACACCAGGCCTGCAAAGGAAGCAGCAGTCTGATGCTACCCTCAGTCAGTGGTTTAACATATGTCTGATATGTATATATTATCTGTCAAGCTATGCAGTTTTTCCTGGGGATAACACAGTGAATGATCTAAATGTGTCCCTAGCTCCCTTAGGGCTCACGTTTCTTAGGAAAGGGAGATGAAAGAGAAAATAATTTCCAGGAGAGATAGAAATTTTAAGAGAGACCTGCGTTAGAAAGGAGGCCGGCCCAATGGCAGCTATCTCTCTCCTGGGTAGTCCCAGTTCGTTCTTCCAGCTCCTCTAGCCTCTATCCCCCCCCTCCCCCTGCTGTCCTCACCAAGTTTCACCTTCCCTCCCTGCTGCCCACCTCTGGTTCTCGCGCATGCTCTCTCGCGAGCTGCACTGGCCAACGGCAGCATTCTCTGCCTTGAGGTCTCCTCCCTCCTACTGGCTTTGTCAGCCCTCCGGCCCCCGCCATGGGAAACGAGGCCAGCTACCATTCCGAGATGGGCAACAACTTCGACCACGATGAGATTAGAAGGCTGTGGAAAAGCTTCAGGAAGATGGACTTGGACAAATCGGGGTCCCTGAGCACAGAAGAGTTTATGTCGCTGCCTGAGCTGCAGCAGAACCCTCTGGTGGGTAGAGTGATCGACATCTTCGACACGGATGGCAACGGGGAAGTGGACTTCCACGAGTTCATCGTGGGCACCTCGCAGTTCAGCGTCAAGGGCGACGAAGAGCAGAAGCTAAGGTTCGCCTTCCAAATCTATGACATGGACAAAGATGGCTACATCTCCAACGGGGAGCTCTTCCAGGTGCTGAAGATGATGGTGGGTAACAACCTCAAGGACTGGCAGCTGCAGCAGCTAGTGGACAAAACCATCTTGGTCCATGATCAGGACGGTGATGGCCGGATCTCCTTTCCGGAGTTCTGTGATGTGGTCAGAAATATGGAGATACACAAGAAGTTGGTCGTGTTTGTGTGAGTTTTGTGTTTTTTTTTTTTTTTCAATTGTCCGGTTTGGTTTGGTTTCTTAAAGGGATCCACTAAACGTATTTAGCTTTCTTCTCTTTCAAGATCTCTTCAAGATATCTAGCTACTATCTCTCTGGTTAACCCAGAAGTGTCTCTCTCTGCCTCTACCATCCAAGCAGTGTTATTAATTCAACTCTTGATGATTACAGACGAAGGGGGAGCAGGGAGAAAAAATGGAAATTCAAGTGATTCTCATAAGTGCTTTTTTCTTTGTTTTAGAGATCACAGTCAAGAGAACTAAAAGCTTAATCGTAAGAAAATGTACATCGTTGCCTTTCTCCCTCAAGGCTGTGTATATGGGAGAAGACTGAGACTTTCATGGCGTGTTAGGAACTCTTTCCATTTACTTGTGGCATTCAGACTTTTGGCAAATTGTTAACTTCCTGTTGTAACCAGCAAAAAATATATTTATCTTTGCTTAGCATCCTTTAGTCACTCTCTGGGCACAAACACCTCCCTAACAGGATGCACGTGACTCTCCACGATCATTCAGAAATCCCTGAGCATGTTTGAGGGCTAGGAGTCTGAATGGGAAGATTCCATCTCAGTGCTTCAGCCTGCCAGAAAGCAGGCTGAGTTCACCAGAGAACAGCTAAGCCTGGACCAAATGGCCAGCCCACCAGTCTCACAACATTTTCAACCTTGTAGGGTCAAAAAAAAAAAAAAAAAAACCAACCAAACAAACAAACAAAAAAAACCCAGCAGGAATCTGGTCAGATAAGGCAACATCCTCCCCAGCCCTTTCATCCCACCTCACCCAGTTGAGGAGAATGGGACAGAGCCCATTTTCCTCCAGGGCAGAATCTGCAGATTTAGGCTGAGGTGACCTTTCCCTGGATGCTGAAATGTTTTTGTTCTGTGTGAGGAGAAATACAGAAATTGGCAAAACAAAATGAAAGCTAGCAACACTTGATTGGCTTGCTTTTGAGAATCTGATTGGTTCCTGCCAGAGAATCAAAGGCTGTCATATCTCAGGAAGGTTTCCTCCACTGTCACATTCAACTCAGAGCTCCCCATGCCTGAATACTTAGACTAGGATCCAAGGATGTGCTGACACTTGATTCTAGACAAGGTATGCACCTTTCTCCGCAATTCGCATAGGTCCTGTCGGGGGGCCTGAGATCAGCAATAGTAGATAGTACCTTATGGAAAAGAACAAGCCCTGTTCTGTTTTGGAGTCGGTTTAACACTACTGTTTGTCCCCATAAATGTCACTAGCTCCCTGAAACCCCTTATTGTCATTTCATAGAGTACAAGGTGTCCTTGGAAGGGCAGGTGCAGCCCGTACCCCAGCATCTGCCACTTCACAGACTGCTCCCCATAATGAGCTGCCTGATAACTCAGAATACCGTAACAATGAAATAAATTCTCACTGCGCTTACTCAGTCGAGAGACACCCCTTAACCATTTTAGATTTACTGTTATGTTTTAAAGAAGTTGCCAATTAGTCTCAGGAAATAGGGATCCACAGATTTCATTGCTGGCATACTGCAACACTTTTCATATTATTTTTGGAAACCACAGAGTTAGGAATTGCTCACTTCTATAACTCCTTTTCCATCATAAAATATATGTTTGGGTTGTGCAAATAATGTCATCCCTGTGGCATTGGAGTCAAACCCATTTCACAATAGTTAAGAGAGTTTGAGACCCAAACACCCCAGGGCATGGATTCAGTTAGAACAGTGTCACCCTGGCCGCTTATTAACTGGGTGAATAATAAAGACAAGTGGTGATTTGGGGGAATGCCTGCCTTCAGTCCATCTTGAGTTTTTTATGCTAAGGAATGAGAGAGCTGCATTAAGATTTCTTCAAGACTTTCAATTTGTCCCACTACTTCAGAAAGTCACCACTGAGCACAAAACATTTTCCTCAGGGCAACCGAAACAACAGAAGAATTTAGGGTGGGCAAAATACGTGCAGTCAATTTCAAACTTCCATGGACTAAATACAGTAATAATAATAGTAGTAGTAATAATAATAGATACTATAGTAAAATTTAAAGTGGAAAAACATAAAAGTTAATAGCTTTTTAAAGTCTCCTGTCTAAAATGCATAAAATATGGAAAATGCAAACATGATTTACAGAAAAGTCAGGAAAAATAAGCATGGAAAAATATCCAACATTTAAAAAGCAGTAATTGCAATAATTAGATCAAACTGGACTAGGGGTGTGGCCAGTGGTAGAGTGTTTGCACAGCACACAGGTGGTCCTGGTTCTGATGTTAACACCAGAAAGAAAAAAAAAAACAAAACAGGAAAATCTAATAACACAGCAAGGTTGGCAAAGCTATGCAGATCTGGAGCTTTGCAGCATCTTGGACCTTTGGTGGCACTGAGGTGGTTTCTGCCAGGTTTTACGGATCATTTCAGACACCAATCACCAAAATAGTTATAGCCGTTGACCTGGCAACCACACCCATGGCAGTGTTTACTGCAATGATCCAAAAATGCTACGTTTCTGAAAGGGCTTTATTTTACTGCAGCAATATTTATCATATATAATGAAGTATAATCATAAAACGACTAACAGTTTGGGAGTAGTAAAGTATAATAAAAGAGGCAATAGATTTAATCTGTTGAAGTTAATAAATTTTAAAAATTAATATTAAAGATATGTTTTTGTTTTTTTTTTCAAGACAGGGTTTCTCTATGTAGCCCAGGCCATCCTGGAACTTGCTCTGTGGACCAGGCTGGTCTCAGACTGACAGATATCTGACTGCCTCTACCTCCTGATTGCTGGGATTAAAGGTGTGAACCACTACTTCCTGGGAGACAGTATTATTTTAGAAACGACTTGTTTAAAAAAAAAAAAAACACAGTGTATACTTGCTTACCATTTAGAAAATATATATGCCAATGTTCTTAGTTCAGATGAGAAAAGAGAATTTTAAAGTAATTGTATGGGACCAATCATGGTAGCTCATACCTATAATTTCAACACTCAGGAGACTGAGGCAGAAGGATTTCCATGAGTTCACTGCTAGTTTGAACTACACAGTGGGTTCCAAGCCAGCCTATGCTACAAAATGAAACTATTTCAAACATAAAGTATTTGTTTTCTATTAAAAGGATATAGTAATCTCAAATCAAACTGCTTATAGCTCCTCAGATGGGGGGGAGGGGCCTCGTGAGTTCTTCACTTACCCATGGCGGAATGTTGATGGGCTCAGTCATATACAGGTCACCATCACTGCCGCGCCATGTGCAGACACAGACTTTCACAGCACTCCTCTCCACTCTCGGGCCCTTACATTGTTTTCCATTTCCCCTTTTGTTATGTTTTTAGAGGTTTGAGAGGGTAATAAAGATATCCCAGTTAGAGCTGAACACTCAGTGTTCTTAGCACGTTGACCAATTTTGGTTCTGTATTAACCAGCATCTACTACAAGCAGAAACTTCCTTGACTAAGGCTGAAAATCAAAAATATAAATATTAAGATGACAGTTTATCAACATGCCCACTTAGCAGAACAGCAACAGTAGATGGCCTCTTATGATTTACAATGGCTCATTCACAGGTTTTTGACCAGGTTTACAGTACCAAACATTATTCTTGTGCAGACAGCTTCAAGTCCACTTAGAAAACAGTTACTCCCTGATGGTCATGCCATTGTTACACTAATGGGCACATTTTACCTAGCAGGTCAGTATTATAGCATTCAGGCTCTAGTCCTTCCTCTCTCTCGATGGCCTGCATAGCACCTTCTAGAACTATCGAAGCTAGCCAGCAAGGAGTAAGCTTCCAGTTCAGCTTCGATTTGATTCTCTATAGCCTGAAACCAAAGTGTGTGGTGTATTTGACAACAGGGTCTTATCACCTAGTTCTGATGAGCAACCAAGAGCATTGGCAATAACCTATATTTTCAGGGAGGACCTTGTGGTTTCCTTTACCAACAACTCAAAGGGATGTATCCCACTCCTGACACTGGGATTTTTATTTCCAAGCTCATGGCTTCTGATAGCATTATCCATCCACGTAGGGTAGCTCTAACCAAGGAAGTTTGCTTTTAATGTGTTCAGTGTATATTTGGGGATACCCAGATAGTCTGAGTAGGGAATTGAAGAATGAAGTCCTTAATTCTTGGTGGTCATTTGTATATCAATTGGCATTTGAAGCCATAAATCTGAATAAAAAAATAAGACTATCAAAGAATGAAAGTTGTGCTATGAATTACAGTCAGAAAGATGAAGATTCACAATGGGGACTAAAGAGGAAGCAAGGGAGAGAAGTACCCCCAAAACTAAGTGAAAAAAATTCAAAACAGACAACAAATAAGGTGACTCACAGTGACTGACGCAGCTGGACAATAACCTGACTAGAGTGGGTCCCAGTCAGAATGAGGGGAGAACAACCGGGAGCAGTGGCTACCGACAACTCTAGAGAAGCAGAGGGATGAGCCAGGGTGCTCGCAGGGTGCTGGAGAGAGCCTGTGCGTGGGAAGAAGGATTAGTTGCAGGGGAGCGCCATTAACACACAAGGTTCGAATGGTGAGTGAAATACTTTCATAGCGTTCCTTGCTGGAGGCTTGGAAATTACTTATTTATCCAACCATTCGACAGCTGTCCCAAGTGTCCCCATATAAACAAGATTCAAAACAGAGTTGGGCTCCAACAAAGTCAGTGGTCTTGGTCTGCATTTCCTGGAAGCAGCAATGGTCTGAGTAGACAGCACACATTTGGTGAGTACAGGCATCTCTCTCTATCCAGATCAGTTTGTTCTTAGAAATGTGCAGACCAGGGTTTGCAAATGGTGGCAGCCTTTGCATTCATCTCATAGGAAAACACAAACTATATTGCCGCTTAATTCAAAAGAAGAATCACATTGCCTAACTATCATGAAGATACTATTGGCCAGCTATGCGTGTACATTCCTAGCACACAGTGTGTGGGTTGTGGTATCACAATCCACCAAGGACGGCTGCATGACCTGAAGCTTTAACATCAGCTATTTATTATGTATTGCTTTATTTTTCATCTTGTGCACTAAAGATTGAACCCAGGGAGTTATATATGGTAAACAAGTGCTCTACTGCTGGGGTGCAGGTGTGAAACAAACACAGAGCATGTTTAAAAGAACATGACCGATCTCGTTTGCTTTTCATCGCTGTGATCAAACACTGACCAAAAACAAATTAGGGGAGGGAAGGGTTTATTTCGTGGCACTGAGGGAAGTCTGAGCAGGAACTCACCCAGGAGCAGAGACAAGGAGCACACAGCGAAGTTGCTCACTGGTCTGTTCTCCATGGCTCGCTCAGCTGGCTTTCTTACAAAACCCACGGGCCCAGTGGGGCCCCACGCATAGTCAATCATTAATTAAGAGAGGCCTCCATAGACTTGCCCACAGGCCAATGTAGTGGAGGCAATTCCTCAATTGAGGTTCCGTCAAGTACCTCTACTTGACAAAAGCTAACAAGCACAATGGCCCCAGGAGAAAGGGGCTGAATTACAATTTCAGCCTTAGGTCTTATCACTCAGACTCAGACTCAACATTCCGGCTGACGCTCATAGGTAAACTCTAGTGGGTTTTCAATTCCAATGCTAGGGTTTTTTTTTAATAAAAAAAAATTTGGCAGGTTGCTATAGAGAGAGAATGCATGGTGAGAAATCAGATACCAGAGGATCCCTGCAAGAGAGATTAACAAAAAGCACAGATGTCACCCTGTATCTGCAGCCTGGTTCCCCCCACATATTAGTCTGTTGGATTTGGGGAGACATAATTAATCTCTAGGCACCTCAAATGTGAAATGGAGGTAATTAATACTTAAAAGGGTATTAAAGATCATCATATCAATATACACAAATAGGCGTTAGCATGCCTATTAAATCTAGTGTGAAAATGAATACAGAGGACAGCCAAGGCTACACAGTGAAACTCTGTCCTGAAAAATAAAAAAGTAAGTAAGTAAATAAAATAAATATACCGAGCTGGAAAGATGGCTTTAGTAGTTAAGAAGAAATGTTGTTATTCCAGAGGACCCAGGTTCAAGTCCCAGCACCTACGTAGAAGTAAACAACTGTCTTTAACTCCGTTCCAGGGGATCCAACACCCTCTTCTGGCTTCCATGGACACTTGCATGTGTCGTACAGGCATACATGCAGGCAATACGTTCACATACATAAAATCACATAAAATCAAATAAAAATCTTTTGTTAGCATAGTATTGTGTAGGCATAAAGGAAGTTTAAATAAAGGAATGCATAAACTCAACACAGCTTATTATTATTGGGATAATATGGGAAAAATGAGAGTTTGCCCATGTGTTAATGGACAGGAGACCCAGTGTGAATTACATTTTTTTTTCCTTATCTTGACAGTCCCTTATTTTAAAAGTATGGCTCATTTTAGAGTTTCTGCTGAACATTTGATGACGTGAATGTTGAAACCCAACAGCAAGCCTCCCTGTTTCCTCTCTATCTATAGCAGTAATATATTGAGCACTAACAAAGTATCAATGATAACGACACAGCAGATTTAACCATGCTAGAAAAGAACTTTCCATGGCGTGTATCCTTATAAAGCCGCAAAACTCCTCACAAAAAGCCAGCAAGCGAGGCTCCTTGTCCTTCTTCTCCACAGCTGTCCCATTTGGGGGCCTGGTGCAACTGTCGATACCTTACTGGTTTATTTCCACAACTATTAGATTAAGGCATTGAACTGCAGGGTCCCGGCATTCCCTGCCAGATCAGACTTCCAGGATTATTCAGTCCATGAGCTTTTCTCCTTAAATCTATTCCTCCTCAGCTCCTGAAAGGGATTCTTTCTTTCTGTGACCAGTGAAGTGCTTCACATATCCACCTGTTACAGTTCTTTATTTCTCCGCCTCTAAGAAAGGGCAAAGTCCAGACGCAAAGCCTCTGAACGAATCCAGGGAGGGGGACACACAGGGAGGTCCATGTGTGACGACTGTGCTTAGCAGCAGCCTGAAGTCACTCGGGGTGTGTCCTTCGTGGGAGGGAGGGTAGAGTGGTGTTCACCCAGGGAGGAAAGGTCCCCGGTTAAAGTAAAACTGAATCCAAAAGAGCCGCCGCCGACTACCGGGCTGCAGGTATCGTGACGCGGCCTCTCCTGTCTTACCACAGACTCTGCAAATGGGCATCAAGCATTTCTCGGGCCTCTTCCTGCTGCTCTGCATCGGGTTTGGTCTCTCCATCCTGACAACCATCGGTGAGCACATAGTGTACAGACTGCTGCTACCACGAATCAAAAACAAATCCAAGCTGCAATACTGGCTGCACACCAGTCAGGTGAGTTCCGCAGGAACCTTGTGCCCGCGAGAAACCAAGAGAGGGGTGGTCAGGCACTCGGGGTCCTAGTGCCTTTTATCCCACTAACCCACCTACCCATAAACTGAGGACTCCGTGGTGTCTCTTCCTTTCCTGAAACTCTAGTGCTGCCCACAGAAGACACAATGTAACTGCTTCAAACCCAGCTTCACTTAACGAAGATCTTCTGGGATGAAGAGACAATATGAAAAGTCCATTCCCCACAGATTCGTCCCTTGCCAAAGCGAAAGCTAGCAAGAGTCTCGAGTTCCCATTTGCTTTTAGGTCTGTTTTTCTGTCAGCAGTTCTGAGGCTTGCTTGTGTGAGGCCATGTCTCACAGAAGTAAAGTCTTCTCTTATAAGATAGACACTAACAGCTAATTTACAAAGATAATTAAAGACCAAGCAGACAGTTTTCTGCACAACTCAGCCATTGTGAAACCAGTGTGTACATCCTTGCTGCAGTCAGAGTGTGTAATCAGGATGGAGGAACTTTAGCATATCACCCAACTTCATCTGAACATGTAAGGTGGATGAGTTACCCCACCTCCCCAGTGTGGGGTCTCTTCTGCTCTGCGTGTGTGTGTGTGTGTGTTTTTTTTATCATTCATTTTATTTTTGTGTTTGTTTTCTAGACAAATAATTTTCTCACAGTTGAACCCCATTCTTCATACTTTCTGGGAAATCGTTGGTCTCCTTGGAGCCTGCAGACAAGTGATCTTCTCTGTTGTATGCTAATACTGTTAAACTCCCAGGAGGCCAGCTTTCCTTCCTTGGATTGGTCGCTTTTGACTCAACTCTGACAACTGTACAAGGCTTTGTACCACACAGAAGTTGCCGGTTGTCACTTCTTTGTATAATATAGCACTTTACCAACCAAAGCACTTCTCTTCCTTCTAGAAAAAACAGCCTATAACTTAGAAGCCTTGTTATCACATACCATTTCACCATCCAGAGCATTTCTCCTCCTTCTAGAAATAGCAAGCTATAATTTAGAATCCTTGTTACCTTGTGATGTGTTACTGAATGTTGACCTAATTTCATGCATGCCTGAAATTTGGGTTAAAGAAGCCATGGTTTGTAGTCACCAGATATGGTCTGTAACACCCCAAGCAGAGATTTGTCTCCTGATACACACTTTCCAAATGATCTCTATGAATCTGTTTTTCCTACCAGAGATTGCACAGAGCGTTAAACACATCATTTGTAGAAGAAAAGCAGCCACGTTTCAAGACAAAGCGTGGGGAAAAGAGGTAAGAGGTCAAAGCTAAAGCCCTCGGTAAAATAAGAGTTTAGACATGTGATCACGTGATGATATCCCATATTCAAAAAGGAAGCTACCTCTAAATAAGTATTCAGACCAAGCTGGAGAAATCTGTTGATAAACAAAATCAATATAAATTATGGATTTTCAGTTATAATCAAACAAAAACAGAAAATAAACAAATCAATGCACATAGACATAGATATACACTGAAATGCAACCTAGGCAAAATATCGACAGTCAGCTTAACAATGCAGGTAGGGACTACAGAGCCTGGCATCTGAGTACAGTCCCATCTTCAACATTTAACATTCTGTGTTACTTGTGCCTCAGATGCCTCATCTGTGAAACAGGAGAAAAGGTGTCCACTCCCTAGAGTTTTTATAAGCTATAAATGAGATAGTAGGCTCAGTCCTGAAATCAAAGCAAAGGTCTAATAAATACTAGCAAGTAGCATGTACCAAATGCATGGAACCCTTCATGTGTGGGTGCAACAAGCATTCATTTTTTTTTCCCCAACCTGGAATGCCTTCCAGGCGTGTTTCAATTTCTCCGATCTCCAGCACTCCTGGAAAAAAATGCAAAACATGCTACAGAGATGCCTGCCCCACTAAGTCCACTTTCCGACACTCTCGTGACTCCTTAGATAAGGTATTCACTAATAGGAAAAGAAACTAAATGCCTCAGAGGTCCACACCTTCACTACAGCCAGAACAGGGATGTCTGTGTCCTCATTCAAGGTGACTGAAGATGTCAGAAGCACTTAGGGTCCGCTGCTTATTGGCCTCGGCTGCAGCTGCCCGGGGCTGCCCTCCTGGATCTCCCGCATTCCCCAAGACCTCAGAGAGGGCATTGGCTTTGAGAACTGGTGGCGCATCATTAGCTCAAAGCTGGGATTTCTGGGTAGTTTAAAATCTGACACTAACACTTCTCATTTGCCCAGAAGGAAAATGATATATAGCAGGATTCTCGTCTAGCTTGGCTCTCCTCTGTGGCTGCTCTAGTCCCTGCTCTCTGGGTTGTATCTAACTTGTCAGAATCATTCACGGTCACAGAATGAACCATCACCTGGCTGTCAGTACAGTAGCCCCTTGTCACAGTGCACGTCTGTTAGTGACATGCTACAGACTGCTCTCTCTCTGTTACCTTAGAGAGGTTTTTCCGTAATATTTTAATCAGAGGAACACAAGAAGACATAGCTATAAAATACTGTCTTACAATTACAAAACATTGTTTTCAATGAATAGAAAAAAGAAGCCAAGTGACCCTGCCCCTCTGATAGTACTCTTATACCTACCTCAGCTAAGCTGAGAGCCAAATGTGTCTCTACACTCAACCCCTTCTCTCACCCCTCCTTACTCTGACAAAGAGCTAAGACAGAATACATCTTCATCCCTGTGACCCAATTAACCCTCAACCTGTCACTAACAGGCTTGCCTTGTAGCAGCACATAGGACATCACAGACCTACAGCAGGATGGGGCGGGAGGTGGGGCGGGAGGTGCTGCTAGGAGCGCTTTGTGACTGGAGAGGCTTTAGGAAACGATGGAAATGATTCTGATAAACTGACTATGGTCCAGAGAGATGGGACTCCAGCACCGGGGCTGCAAGCCAGGACAAAGAGTCATGCTGTCCACCCTTTCCTTTTGTTGGGAATGGCCCACGTTCCCTGTGGCAATTTCCCTACAGCCCAGGGCCTGCAACCTTCCAAACTCCATATGCATTTGAGGTCTCCCAGTGATGTTATGAGTTTTGAACAGTCCAATGGCATACTGAGCTTCCGTCTTACATACCAACCCCGATGACGTCTGCCTTGCTCATTTTAGGTTGAAAGACTTCTCAGTCCATTGGCCGCGTTCAACTTTTAACACCAGAGAAGGCTTGACCAACACACACACACACACACACACACACACACACACACACACACTCTTTCTAGTCGACACCTTATCTTTTAAAGCATCTACCACCTTGCACCCATAGGTATCCCACAACCACTCATCAACGATCACAGCACAGTGATGCTAAGTCCAGCTTTTGCTTATTGTTCTGTTTATCCCCACAAAGATGCTCAAGACTTGGATAGCCAGATTGCCCGTCTCTAAGCATGTCTAAGACTGTCTGATCACTATGGCGACCTGCATAGTCTAAGGAGCAGAGCAGACAACTCTACTCTTAGTGTTCCCCCACTGTCAGTCATTCTACAGTACTAGAGCTAGACTTCCTGACTTGGAAATAGCCTTTCTTTCCTCTCTTGCAAGAAAATGCAAATGTCCATGCCATTTGGATGACAGCCTGCTCTATTCTCTGTATTTAGTGCATGGATTTGGAGGGCCAGGTGAATGAAAGACTAACACGAGACTGGTAGCTTGGTGAAATCCTAGGTCATGGTACTGAGTCAAATTTTAATGCACGTTAATGGATATTTCAAGAGGGTTTTCATCTGCGATTCATGATTTATTCAATGTGAAAACTTAAAGGTCAGGAGGAAGCATCTATTTAATCATATCATCTCTAATAGTCTAAGGTCAGGGAAGTGGCTGTAGGTAGAATCACTGTAGCACTTTCCCCCGGACCACAACACAGGAAAAGTGAGCTCTGGGGCTTTCTAGAGCTTCAATAAGGTAAGGAATGAGCAGGAAGTTTGCAGTGCCTGTGTTAGTACCCTGGGCAAGTTTTATTCAGCTTCTGCTGTGTGAGCAGTCACCCCAATACTTACTACCAACAGTGAATTTCTTACTCATATATAGGTCAGCTGGCTCATGCGTATATCGGTAGCCAGAATGGGGAAGTGGGGGAGGGGGAGAAGCAGCTAAGGACTGTCTGATCAATTGTCCTCTGCTGGGTCACCTAGGAAGCCTGTGAACCTTCTCCGTGTCTGCCACCCATCAACAGGTCAATGAGGACTCACGTGGTATCTGCAGGGATTCGAGAATGACAATGTGTAGGGTCCTTAGAAGTATAGTCTTGAAACCTCTCAGCCTTCTTAGTACCCAAACCAAATAATGAGAGCAGAGCCAAGGGGGTGGCTTTTGACTGTAGAATCCAGCACTTGGGAGATGGAGGCTCAAGACTAATGTGGACTATATAATGAGTTCCAGGCCAGCCTGGGCTACAGAGTGAGACCTTGCTTCAAACAAACAATCTCATAAGCTAGACCTCATAGACCAAGGAAAGGGGCCATAGAATGAAGGATTAAACCACCTTGGCAATCTACTTCTGAGCAAAGCAACACAGAACCATCCTATTAAGTCTTTGTGTTTTGTTCTTAACTATGTAACTACTTCCAGAATTCATTTCCTCTCCTCTTGTCTTTCCAACTCCAGGGCCTCCACTCTGACTCTCCCAGGCAATTAATTAGGAGTTCAGGAATAAAGTTGACTCAGTTTTATGGGAACAAAACACAGGGCTTTAATAGGGGTTTCCTATTGTGCTGTGGCACATGGTCATAATCTTCCTCCTCCTCCTCCAGAGTGCAAAGGAATTGGTAGTCACACTGCTTAGACTAAGCTATTCTTACAGCTTATACTTGTCTCATTGCACCCGCTGTCAAGGTGTATTTAGAAACTTGCCCAGCTCCCTCCCACATCCATCCAGCATCCTACAGCCATGTGTCCATGATAGTGGCAAGTGATATATGTAAGCATGAAGGAACTGTAAATCCATTCAGGTCATCGGCACTGCAGCAAGGATCAAGGGTGTTCTTATTTCTGTTTGTTTTCAAGCGTCAAGCTTGTCATTCTCGATCTGAACAAAACCACCCCTGTAGTGAGAAACACTAATCCACCTTTATTCTCCCCAAAGCCCCATACAGCCTAGAAGGGATAAAAGTCAGCCATAAAATAACAAACCAGGGCTCAGAGTACTACATCTGAACAAAGATTTCTCACTTTTATTAATCTCTATAGCCATAGGACATCTCCAGGCAGTACTGCTTTCTGCTTTCTGAGCACTGCTTGAAGGTAGGTTATGAAAATGTACCCAGGTGTGGGAAAGATGGCTCCGCAAGAAAGAGTGCTTGCTTCGCAAGCAAGAGGACCTGGTTGAATCCCCATCACCCAAGTTAAAGCTCAACATGACTCCATGTGCCTGTAACCCCAGCATTGGGGGATGGGACAGGCAGATTCTGAGATCTTGTTGGCTAGCCAGCCTAGCTAGAATGATAACTTTGTGGACCCTGTCTAAAGCAATACAGTAAAAGGTGATAGAGGGAAACACAGGATGTCTTGTTATGGCCTCAACATGTGTTCATCCTTGCAATGAACCCGTCCATCTATATATTCGTATCTCTTTCCAGCTCCCTCTCTCATGCAAGTGCACACGTGTGCACGCGCAAACACACACACACAGATACTTTAAATAATTCATAAGACAATGCACCATTTCTCATTTCACCAGAAGACATCAATTCCTGTGTCAAAGCAACATAAGGCCTGGTGAGACTCAATTCAGTTCATGGCTCCTATTTTCCCCACGGTGCTCTAAGCAGGCAGTCTACTCATGGCTTGGTGACTTCATTTCTACAAACACAACTAGATCTCTGTTGTTCACCTAGGAGATGGAGAAGATGGGGATGCGGGACAGAAGGAGACTCTGAACTGTCTCTGTTTCCTAGGTCAAACATGGGACCCCAGCAGCTCATGGTGTGGAATACTTCTAATCTGAGTCATGACAACCAACGGAAACACAACTTTAGTGACGAGGAAGGACAAAACCAGATGGGTACCCAGACCCACCAGGACATCCCTCTTCCTCCAAGGAGAAGAGAGCTCCCTGCCTCACTGACCACCAACGGGAAAGCAGACTCCCTCAATGTCGCTCGGAACTCGGTGATGCAGGAACTCTCCGAGTTGGAGAAGCAGATCCAAGTGATCCGCCAGGAGCTGCAGTTGGCTGTGAGCAGGAAAACAGAGCTGGAGGAGTACCAAAGGACAAACCGGACTTGCGAACCCTAGGCAGTGCCACTGCTCCCCTTTCTCAGCCCTCGGTATTCGGAAGCCCTCGAGGCACTTTGTAAAGCTCTTTTGTATGGACTGACAATGGTGTGGAGCCCGGTAGTGAAGTGTGCAGTACTCGGCCTCACATGCAGCAGCAGCGGCAATTCCCACACGTGCCCCCCAGGTCTCCAGGGTAGGAATCTAGAGTTAGTCAGGGCTAAAGTCTGTACACGGGATCGGTGAGCAGCCAGAGAACTCTGGCTCCTGTCAGCCTTTTCACCTGGTGCCACAGTAATCTTTGCGGGTTTTTAGCCCTCTCTCCGCGCTTCAACAAGAGATAAAAAATTGTTGCGCATCCCTGTGTCTTACTGGGTTGGTTTTTGATATTATTACAAAATAGAATTGCCCAGGTTTGCAGGTTTGATACAACTTCCCAATCTAGATTTGATCTTACCTTCTGAAAAAGCAAGTTAGGAGCCAGGAAAACTAGGGCAGAGCAGATACATTAATTTAAAAAAAAAAAAAAATTGAACAGAGCTCAGAATTACAAGCAAGGGATGACTGGCTAAGGTAGCACCACGTGCTAGAGCAGTTCTGGATATCTGAGCCCATCCCAGCTAACGTTTAGTAGAAACATGTTGACACACCGCTCTGAAAGACAAAGGGAAGCAGGGAGTGGGAGCAGAGGGCAGGCAGACGGGGTATTAACAATGCACAAGGTGTGCTTAAAATAAAGCTCTGGGCCAGAAAGGCAATTTGGCTAAAGAATGTGTTGCACTATACTTCTAACGTGACTAAGCATCCCCACTATAGCGTGTGCCTTTTATAAAGGAGAGAGAAGCAGAGCAAGGCTATATCCTTAACAGAAACCTGTGCTCTACCCCCTAGTTAAAGCCTGTGACAGGGTCCGGGAGCCAACACTCTTAAAGGAAATATTCTGCACACCTCATGGGAAGCTGTTTTCAGATCAGTGGTCCCCTCTCTTAGCCTGAGGAACTCCAGAAGCCACAAGAGGTTTGTGAACATCACAATAGCCAAATACTGGAGTCTGCTCTGCTTCAGCATCTCCCATCCTTATACTTTCTGGTCTCTTATGAACTAAGGTCAGTTTGAGTCCAATTATCCTCCTGCCTCCATAGAATGCCCTCACGAGTGGATATAATTAACCTAGCATTCCCTCTGCTTAGGCATCACTTTCTAGTCACACGCTTGCTTGGCATGCAGAAAGCGAAGAACCATGAGATCTCTAGACTTCCTATCCGTTCCCAAATGATAGGCCAGGCAATCATCTAAGGCTCATCAGGCTGCCAATTGCCAGGAGTTATATTGGGAGGGTCTACTGGTGGGCCAGCGCCTCAGAACACAGTCCTAAAGTTCCTCTCAGAGAATCACTGCTCTGGAAGCCTGGCTACCTCTAGCACATGAGAAGGAAGAGCCTGTCTCTTTTTTTTTTTTTTTTACTTACTGATGGTCTCCACATTCCCACCTTAACACCAGGCTTCCATTTAGAAGTAGACTTTCTTGTTGGTCAATGCTGCATTGTCTCTGAACTTGCTTCCTCAGTTAAAGTCTACAATGAATGCACAATATTGTGCCAAAAAAGTGTTCAGATCGTTAAATGGGGCTTCCATCATAAAACTCCTCCCACTCCGGGACACAATGTCTGTGCTCCACCAAGAGCTACACAGATCCCTAGATGAAGATAGTGCCCTAAGTTGTAAGCAGAACACCTGAGCAGTGAGCTCAATGGCTAGGTAAACCGAGAAGTGCAAGGAAGCTCAGATATTCAAGAGGCAGGGGGGCTGTAAAAACAGATGGCAGCCTTGAAGATTAAACATTCCAAGTGAGGGAGAAATATGCCCGGAAACAGAAGAGGACAATATGCTTTACAATGCCCTCATTCCCTCCTGTACTCTCCCCCAGCAGGCCCCAGCTGTTTGGCAGGTTCCATCCCTCAGCCATTCCTCCCACCTGTTAATGCCCTGGGGCCACTGCTCTGAGCATCCCTGACACTTGCTCAGCCTGCAAGGCTGATGCACAGTGTACCTCAGTTCACATGACAACCATGCTCATGTGGTACACAGACATTTGTGCAGCAACTCATACTCTGAGTGTATTTGAGAGGCTGGCTATGTAAGGGAACACAGAGGTGAATTCTTTTGTAAAGAATCCTTTTGTAATGCAACCAATTCTCCCTTAACGTATCTGTTTTGTAAGTTTGGATTTTTGTATATCTGCTTTCTCTTACGCTTCTCTACTGAGGCATTCTGAGTAGTGGTGATCGCAATGCAGAGCAGAGAACCAGTGCACTTGGCCAATAACGTGGCCAGGATGCAACAAGAGTAAAGGAGGCTTACTGCTGTCAGCACTGCTTAAAATGCTTTCAATGTCCTGGGTGAAGAAAACGCATAATTGCTTGTGAAGCAGTTTTCATGATAAATAGCAAAATTTTTAATGGTAGTAATTTGAAGTGTTTTGCAATCTGTGAAACAGTTCTGTGTTTTGTACAAAGATTTCACGAAAGGGAGAGTCCTTCCAAACCTTCCTTCTGCTCTGCCTCCCTCAGTTCCCTCACCTCCCCCTGGGGCTCACAGAGGAAAGCTTTCAAGGGCACAGCTGTTGGAATGAGCTGGGGGCTTCAGCCTTGCCTCCTGAACTCCCATTTCATGGGATCAGGAGATCCTCTTTTCCCATCCAGGCTCTTAAACTGGCAAACCTGGAACATGGTCAACTGTCCCGCATTTCAAGGGGTTGTGGCCCATTCTCCAAGGTGGCCTGGCATGGGAAGCACACCAAGCATGACTGGCTATAAGCTGGTTTGTTTGACTAAGGGTTCCACAGTGCGCCTGCCATAAGAGACGAAAGAGTGCTCCTCCAACGATGCGAACAAGTCAGAGCAGCTGGGACAGCCAAGGAGGCAGCCACACAGACCTAGGAAGGCAGGGTCTGTAGTGTACCAGGATTTCCTATTATATGTAAGATCGGCACAAACCCTGTTCAGGAATGGCTGCTTCCCTTCCCGCTGAGAAATGGTACGTGGAGCCATGCAGACCAGAAATGCATCATTGGGATAACTCCTCTCTTTGGTGTTGGATCTGCTAGAGACTTGGGGCAAGCTGAGCACCCCTTTGTGTGGATAAGAAAGGAAAAGAAGCTACTTTACAGTTTCTTCTCCTCTCATCTTTGGAAAGGCAACCCTGAAAATCCAGTCTTCAGCAGAAATTGCTCTTCTAGTCATTAAAGCCACTAAACCACCTGCACTGTTTTGTTCTGCCTTTCCCCACCCACTCTCCCGCTCCTGTCAAGCACATCCTACCCAGGAACTCCCACACTCTCTTTCATTTCGTTGCCAATCATTTTATGAAAATGAAGTGCTTCTAAGTATTTCCTAAGGTCTGTGAAGAGTATTTGCTCTGCGTCTTCATTACAGTGTGTGTGCAACCGCTCCGCTCCAAGAACTGAAACGCTGTCTTGTGAGCATGACGTCAACAGGCTGTTTTGCTCCAGCCACTTTTCTTGTACAACCACGGGGAGGGACCAGATGTCCTCGGGTCTTTTCCATCTTCAGTTTCTATAACTGTGGAATAAATGTTCAGATAGAAACTTCACTTTTGGTCATGTTGCTGGCATTTGGGAGGGGGGATTCAAAGACTGGTGAGGCACCAGTCCCTTCTCACAGGAGTCCCAGGAATGCAAGACTTAGGCCACATATGCATGTCTTTGGTCTAGTCCATAGCAGCACAAAATATGCTGAGAATGGGCATTAGGAAGCAGAAACATCTTCATATGAGAAAGACATTACAGGGAAAATTTAAAGAAATAAAGTTAAAAAAAAACAAAACACACTTTTCACAGATCTCTAAAAACTGCCCTATCATCTTCCTTCAGTAATTCAACAAACATGGCTAAAACACAGCAATGGAAAGGGCAGGTATGGTCTTAGCCTTGGGGGACCTTCTCTCGATTTGATCTTTCCAGGACTTATAAGACATGGGCTCATTTAATCATGTGATCAGCTTATAATCATCTGATACTAAATACTTCCGATGTAGTGTAGAATAATTAAGTACTACTTTACAGGTGGGAAAAAACAAGTCAGAGAGACTCTGCGATCAGACCGGGCCGCACAGCTAGCAACAGCAGCAGAGGTGAGTGTGCAAACAGCACAACCACAATGCAGCACTGTTAGCACTGTGGCCGGTGCCTGTGTCTCCCTCCTCAGTGCCCCTAATCTGTCTCACTCTGACCCAAGCCTCGGCCTGACCACCAGCCCTATAGATCAGAGGGAAGCTGAAATGACAACTGCACTTGCACTGGCCCAGCAGACTCAAACTGTAGCCACCCAAGCCTCACAAAAACAGTCCACCTGCATTTGCTCTGCTTTCTAAGGCCTGCCAAGCATTGGTACCAAGTTTCAAACCACTCAGCAGCTCTTCAGGCATGCAGGCAGTTTCTGGCAGTCCAAGCCATTTCAGCAGTTTGCAAACTTGCCTTCATGAATCTTCTAGCCTAACCTAGTCTCTACATACATTCTTTTGAAATATAACCAAATCGAATATCATAAAGTATAAAGCTCTCCACAACACAATAAAACTGCCAACTTCCCCAAGATGTTTTGCATCATTCATCCGTTCATTCTGGGGTCCAAGTATGGGGACAAGCTGTTGGTGACAGCAAGGTAATGGGGGATTCTTAACTCAGGGACCCATAGGGCTCACTCTAGTTGTGTATGAGAGCTACAATCTAGCAACACAATGTGCTATGTATTTTGATAAAGGAATGCACACCAGGGCCAGAGGTGAGGTAGTGGATAAAGTGACTGAGGTGCATGCATGAGAATGTGAGTTCAGATCCCCAGAAGAGATGTGAACACCAGATGGAGTAGCAGGGATCTGTAATCCCAAAGCTCCTACGGCAAGATGGAAGGCAGACACAGGAGACTCTCGGGAAGCTAACATGCCAGCTAGCCTTGCAAACAAGACCTGTCTCAAACAAGGTGGAAGGCCAGAACTGACAGCTGCTGCCCTCTAACCTCCACAAACATGCAGTGTCAAATACACACATACATACACATGCACTCATCATACACATATTTACACAGAGCAAATTTTAAATGCACATCAAGTCTTACAGCAGCAAAGATGACACCCGCTACACATGCACGTCATAAACTTTCCATCACAAATACTCAAAATTTAAAGAGTTTATTCCAATATATAAAGAAAAGCACTTTGAAAGTGAGAGAAAATAAGGCTTCAATTCACACCCATGTACAATAAGAGACTTCTGGACAGCTGGCAGAAAAGCAAGAGAGCTGAATCGTTCAGACAACTTTACTGAGCACCTTGTGCCTCTGCTACATGTTGGGGATTAAGGTGTTAAGACACTGCCCTTTCTAAATCCCAATCTCAATAATAAATGGGAAACAGGCTATAAGACCTTAACAGCTAATGTCAGGAAGGGACCAAAGCTGAACAGAAATCCTTGGAAGGTAAAGCTAAGCTTTATTTATCATGGGACAATTAGTATTCCAAACATTTAAGATCTAAATATTTTTTTTCCACACCAAGGATTTCTTCACTGTGTAAATCCAATTCAACACACAGAAACCAACAGTTTCTTTGGTTCCTACTTACATGAGTCATTTTTTTTATTTTGAATTTTTTATTCATTTTACATACCAACCAAAGTTCCCCCTCCCTACCCTCCTTCTAAACCCCCAGCCCACCCCGCAGCCACTCCTCCCAATGGGGTAAGGCCTCCCATGGGGAATCAACAAAGCCTGGTGCAATCAGCAATCAGTTGGGGCAGAACAAGCCCCTCCCCCCAACCCCTGCATCAAGGCTGAGCATAACATCTCACTGCAGGGAATGGGCTCCAAAAAGCAGGCTTAAGCACCAGGGATAGATTCTGGTCCCATTGCCAGGGGCCCTACAAGCAGACCAAGTCACACAACTGTCACCCACTTGCAGGCTCCCGAGCTGTCTATCTGGAGCCCGTGAGGTCCCAGGAGCTCACTGGCTGTCTCTGTGGATTTCCCTGTCATCATCCTGACCTCCCGTTGTTCATATACTCCCTATCACATAAAGGTGGGATTCATGAAGACCTAATGACGACAGCTGCTGAGGACAGACAGAGAACATGCCCTTGACCATTATCTAGAAATGTATTGATCAAAAAGGATCCACTTTATATAACCCCTTTATCAGGCAGAGAAAACTTCTGCTTTGCTAGTTTCTAAAAAACTCAAAGTCATACCCCAAAGCCCACTAGGAGGAAATTACGTCTTACCTCCAGTGAGATGGAGGAAACCTATGTAGTCTCTCCTGTGGGGGGACATTTGATCACACCATGCACCCCGAATTAGCATTTGCACTAATTACATAAAATAAACCTTGGGTCAGGAGGCTGAGTGAACAACTAGCTGACAGAAAGTAATCACAGAGTCTCAGAGGGCATGTGGGAGAGACGGAGAGATGCTCTGAAGTAGTGGGAGGGTTTGAGTGGCGTGTCTTTTGTGTTTTGCTGACTGGAACGATGGGCCCTCTTGGGAGAAGCCAATAAGGAGAGTTAAGATAGGTGCTACTCAGCCCCTCTGAGCTAGCAGATTTTCACCCCAGACTTTTAATCTCAAGTCATACTTATATTTAGAATAAGAGAGATTTAGCTAAAGCTAAATCTTTAGTGGCAGTGACAGAGCAGGTGTCCATGGGAACGGAATTCCCACCAGACTGTGCCCTGAGCACCCTTGCCACAGAAAACTGTGGAGTCATAATTGCTGGCTGAAATAGCCGTAGATTAGAACACAGCCGAGGTGCTGAAGACAAAGCAACATGCTCCCTTTTAGGTAGTCAGTAGGATTCCAAACAACTGGGAAGAGAGAAAACTAACTCAATTAATCAAAAAGATAAATACTGGGAACACAGCCAGTCCCTTAATTTTATTAGTTCTATTCAAAAGAATCCATTTCACTGGGGCATGGTGGTACATATCCCTAATCTTAGCTCCAGCAAGGCTGAGGAAAGGGAATGGCTGCGATTCTAGGCCAGTCTAGGTTACATAGCAAGAGACCTTATCTTAAAAAAATTCCGATTTGGAACAGCAGGTATAATAAAATCAACTATTCGTAACAAATAAAAAAAAACAAAAAAAACCCACACAAACACAAAAACAAACTGAGTCCTGCTTTAATTGTAGTATGTGGAATATATTAAAATCCTATAGAAACATTACTGAGAATCTTCTGGAAAACAGGGATGGTGCAATCCCTCTTGAGAGAAGGATGAGAGTAATTCATAGCTCACCAACACCTCCCTGGGTCACATTCCCAGACTACCCAGATCTCTTCATAATCTCATTTCAGATGCTTCTTAGATTCTGATTCTGATTTCAGTAAAAAACGTAGGGGCTATCAGTTTGAAATTATTCTGGCCTTAAGAAATTAAAAAAAGCTATTAACTATCTAAATAGTTAAAACATAAATAACTTTAGTGAGAAATCCATGTGACCCTAAAAGTCACTTTGGTAGAAGTGGGAAATGGATTGAATTATCCTGGATATAATTTCATTAAGGCTTCGAAACCTTCCAGGAGAGATTATCACAATTATACCATTTTATAACCTAAGTTAGGGTAAGAAAAGGCTTACTACACAAATCAAGAAGTCTGGGCCCATAGAAAGCTTATTTCTAAAAGCTCTCTCCTCCATAATAGCATGTTCACACTACCTGTACTGTATCCCCTCCTCAATGTCAAACTATCAGCCTGACTTCTTCAGGAAGAATGGGCAATCCAAGTTAATAGGAGAGTCCCAAGAAGAAAACGCTGAAAAATCTGAAGAGTACACAAACAAAGCTGGTAGGGAAGACAAACAGCAGTAGCTTCTAGTTCATTCTAAAACCTTTAAGCCTTGAGGTCTTTTTCACTAATGTTCTCTAGTTCCCGGAGAGGAGAGCCTGGACAAAGTCTGAGAAGCCAGGGAGTTGGCCCACTGTCAAGGAGAGAAGAGGTGGAGGCCTGGTGGTTAATGAGTAAGTGCTTGCCTAGCCAGCTCCTCTTTCTTGACTGTGATCAGCCAATGTAGATGCGATGGAAATCATTGGCACCAAAAGCAGCATTACACTTGGGACACTTGCGCTGGCGAGTGTCGTAGCGAGTCTTCACACACTCAAAGCAGAAAACATGGAAACATTTGGTAAGCACTGCATCCTTTTTACGCATGTTACAGCAGGGGCAGGTCAGCCGTGCCTGAAAAAGAAAAAAATCAGAGTCTGAGGAACCATAAAGCTCATGTCCCAAATGGCTATAATAAAAGCAAAAAACAAGATTGCTGAGCTTTAGAAAAACAGCAGTTTTTCCCTAAAAGAATAAACCATTCTCTGCTTGCCTTCATGTGAAGGTGTCTACTGCTCTCTCAGTGCTCCAGTATACCCATCCCTTCTGCCTTTGTGTGAAGTCAGCGTCTACTCTCTCAGTTCATTAGACACCACTTCAGACCCTGACAAACACAAAGATGCCACAGAGTCAGTTGTTCTAACCTTGTAGTCCTTTATCTCCTCCATCAGAATCTCATCACACTTGGGCACATTGTCTGGCTTCTTGGTGGTCTCCAGCTTCCTTCGAAGCCTAGATATGTCCTCCTGCAGCAAGACAGTAAACACAGTAGACACATTTCCCAGACCTACCAGTTTTGTTTTGTTTTTTTTTGCAGAAATAATTTCTGCAACTTGACCTTTCTGTTATAGAAACAAAGAACTTTCTGTCCTTTCATGTCCAATTATCTTTAGGAATGTAGGAACTTGCAAATGCCTGTTTCAGAACAGACAACCCTATTCCTATCCACAACTTAGAACTGCACCAATGAAGGCACATTCAGTCAGGTGAAAATATAACCCGAACTCATGAGAGCAAGCTGCCTCATTTTGTGGTAACGAATTTTAGGGTGAAGGCAGACCTGGACTGAATACAGACCTGGGGAAAAGGACAGGAGCCATCCTAAGAAACAGCTGGCATGAGGAAACTAGAAGAGGAGTGAGATCTGAATCTCCTCCTGAAGCTGCACTGCTACTTCACAGCTCAGCACTTCACAGATCTTACAGCTACAGTTTCACATCTAGAGAACATGGCATGAGGCAAACAATGCCAGGCCTTTCCCACAAGGCCCTTCAGCCTAGCCATTCATGGTGTTCAACACTCACCACAGCCCTCAGAAAGCACTGAAAAGGTAAATACAATCAAAGCCAACTGCTCTTGCCTGTGCTCGTTTGAAATTGAACAAGTCCTTTTCTTTGGTGACACTGTTCTCCACGATTTCATCCTGAAAATCATGGAGCTTCTTCTGAGCCAGTTCCAGCTGGGCTTTGAGGTCATCTGCAAGCTGAGCTGCCTCCATTGCCTATGTAGAATGCAGAAACATCATCTTATCATTCCTTCTGGGGAGGGAATGGCTTCCAGAGTGAACTTAAATTCTGCAGGCAGGTTCTGCTTACTTGCCCCTGGAGCCCACCCATCATGGCAGGTTACAGAGGCCAGCATACCTTGCGCTTATTCATCTCCAAGGCCTGAGTCCTAAGGCCCAGCTCCTTCTCCCCTGTGCCGATGTTACTCTGAAGCAGGTGCTCCTTCTCTTCCAGTTTCCTTACTACCTGTAACTGGGCATCCACCTGTGAAGGAAAAAGCTCAGATTTTAATGTAAGCAGGTAGGAAAATAAAATCAGTTATGTTTTATTTATCCATACTATCTCAAAAATTACAATATATCAGAAAGTCCAGCTATTGTTGACTTTTTCCATGAACTTTTCAAAAATATATCCTAGGAAAGTATTGGCTTCAAGTTTTTACATTAAATAGTTCATGAATATTCAGAGTTTGGGAGCCTAAATTGCCAAGAATAGAAAACCATATTTACATATATTCATCTTCTGTAGCTATACTAATCCTCAAAACATGGTCACTCCAACCAGAACATAAATACTTAAGTCAAACCACATTTAACTCCATTTCTTTAGAACAGCTAGAGGTTCTGAAGTAGACTTTTTCTTGAAATAAACCACAAGTAGAGTCAAACAATGCCAACGGTAGAAAGTAAAATCACACATCCACTTCTGGCCTCTCACTCTCACAAGCTTTCACCCCAAGATCCAAAAGCAAGCAGGTCAGAAGACATCAAGTGAGACTTTAACATACACTTTCATTTGCAGCATTTCTATCACACACAGAGAAGCCATGATGACCAGTTTTGCAGGTGTCTTCATGCAGAAACCTCCCTACTTCAACAGAACGAAGGACTCGATTCAACCCAATTACCTGAGTCTTCAGCGTCAAAACCTGGTCAGCCAACTCCTCCTTCTCCTCTTTAAGTAACTTATGGATCTGATTGGATTTGATTCGCTCTGACATTAGCTTGAAGTTTGCATCATCCTTCTCCCGCAACTGCTGCATCAAACGGATGTTCTGCTCCTGCATGTCCTCAAAGGCCTGTCCTGTGACATCCATCTCAGAGAGGAGAGCTTCTTCCTCCTAAAATGAGGGGCCAATTAGCAAATCTGCCAAATGCCAAAGGATGAGGGAAAGTAGGCCCTCTGTTCACCTGCATTAGTTTTATATCTACAATCATAAAGGATAAAAACTGTCATTTTTCTAATCACTATATCCCTCAGTGCCAGCCAGTAGAGAAAAGAGATGTCCTCAGTAAGCAGTGTCTGAAGCAACAGCTTGTCCACTGAAGATAAAAATAAATTCTCTACCACCAAATACACAAAACAAAATAAGGGCAGAATGACAGACAAGAATTTCAATGTAATAACAAAGAAAATGATAAAAATTATGAACAAAGAGGAGTAGGATTAAAGTCAAACTTCACCGACAGTAATACCTTTCAGATTTCTACTTACGTGTTAATAAAAGCATGCCCACCTGCTTGGCCATGGCCAGCTTCTTCTGAAGGTATTCGATCTGCTCCTCCACTGCCCGGATCTTCCTCAAGGCATCATCATCAGCCATTTTCTTGTTTTCTTTCTTCTCCTTATCCTCCAGATCCTTGAGTCTTTGCCTGAGATCCTCCAACTACAGGAGGAAAAGGATCATGTAAAAAACTAAGAGAAGTCATCAAACACTTCCAGAAATCATTGAACATTATACACACATGGAGGGCCCACATAACCAAACAGTAAGAATTGGGGAACAGGATAAATGATGAACTGAGAGTGACTCAATTCAGCACACCACTCAACATCATTCCTACAGTTCATGCAGCTATAGGCAGAGGCTTTGGAAGTGTTCAAACTGTCTTCTCCTTAGGCCTCAAATTTTCAAGAATAAAAACATTTCTCTTGGGATGGACATGGCAGTGCACTCAAGAAGAAGAGGTGGATCCCTAAGAGTTTAAGGCCAGCATGGCTTATGTCAGGAGTTGTAGGATAGCCAAAACTACATGTCTCAAAAAGTCAAAAACAAACAAAAAACATTGCTCCAAGGGCTGATAGCTGATGGGAGGGCTGAGTGGTTAAAAACACTGGCTGATCTTCCTGAAGATCCAGGTTCAATTCCTGGTACCCACATGGCAACTCACAACCATCTTCTAACTCCAGTTCTAGGTGTCCTCTTCTGGTCTCCATTGATACCAGGCACACATGATGCACACACACACACACACACACACACACACACGTATGTATGTATGTATGTATATAGGCAAGGAAAACACACTTATGCACAAAATAATAACAAAGAATTTAAGAGGAAAAAACTCCTCTTAAATGCAACCAGAAAGGACTTCTATAATAATAACGAAGATAATCTGGTACTAATTTCTCAGAACCAACTAAGGAATGAAAAAAAATTTAAAACCTACTCCACGTTCTTATAATTCTGACATATTTTATTACCTTATAGGGAATTTTAAAAGCCTGACTTTAGACAGTCTTTGTTGTTGTTGTTTGAGACGGGGTTTCTCTGTGTACCCCCGACTGTCCTGGAATTTACTCTATAGACCAGGCAGGCTGGCCTCAAACTCAGCGAGCCGCCTGCTTCTGCCTCCAGAGTGCTGGGATTAAAGGTGAACGCTACCAATAGACAGTCTTTGAATAGGTGGGCAAAGTTGCTAAGTTAACACTAGCTTTAAAGATGGAAAATCAAAGGACAAGCCCACAAATGAAGATTGTCACCATGATGACAGATGACAGAAGGCTCGGTTACCTCAGCCTTCGACTTCTTCTCAGCCGCCATTAGCTGCACTTTGTCTCTCTGCTCCTTGGGGGCAGAGCGATACATATCTAGCAGCAGCTTCATCTCCTTCTGGCTCTCTTGTGCTTTCCTAGGACGGGGTGGGAGGGCAGAAGGAACAACACTGAGAAAAAAAGGCCATCAGAGCAAGTACGTACTATTTTATGACAACTCCTCCACTCTACATCATAGCAAAGAGATAGTTTCATAGGTTACCAACAGACTTCTGGGACATACTCGGAGAGCACAGAAAAGAAACCACACATATGAATCATTTCTCTGTTCAACCCTGCATCATCAAGTGTAAGGTAAGTAACTGGCACAGTGACACAGGCACATGTAAGTGGTGCCGCTCAGAGACGGAGTGCGTAGACAGATCTGGGATGTATTTGGTCAAATCATTCAGATGATTTTTTTACAGGGGGAAATGAGTTTACTTAAGCTAAACTGCATGAGAGATCAAGCACTTTGAACACAGTGAACCCTTCAATTAAAAGTGTAAACCACGAAAAACAGAAGAGCCAGTTCCAGCAGACATTATGTTTATGTAGGAGGAACTAGGACAAAGTGTTATGTCGGGACAGAGGTAATGCTGAACTGAGTTAAAGCTATCCTTCTGCCTGAATTCTGTAGAAAGAAACTGCCAAGGAATTCTTGGTTTAAGCTGGCATATCTCCAAACCAGTCAACTGCAAATAAATTAGAGACAAAGGATAATTTAAAATACAAGTAATGCCAGCAAATTACCCAAACCAAAAAGCAGTAGTCAATTTTCAGTATTTCTAGTATGCTATTTTAATGTGGTATCTGTTCTCTTAATATGAACTCATGAGAAGTAACCACTCAGCAACACTGTAGTATAGTAGCCAGGTAGACCATCTGGCTACATATATCCAATTGAAAGTCGAGACCATATTCACTGTACATTAAGCTCCATCTAAAATACTATATAATGACTGGATGAGTCATACCATCAAGCAAACACTTCATTCTTAGGTTCAGGCTCTGTATCATTATAAACATCACTTACTTGAGTTCAGTCCTCAGCTGTTTGATAACTTCTGCTTCTTTTTTCCTTCCATCCTCATGCTTCCCTTTCTCTTTATCCTTAGCAGAGTCTCTTTCTTTTTCTGACTCTTTCAGTTTCTGTTTCTCTCGTTCTCTCTCCTTTTCCTTTTCTCGTTCTCGCTCTCGCTCTCTTTCTTTCTCCCTCCTTTCTCGTTCTCTTTCATCTTCATCCCGTTTGGATTTAACTTCATTGGCATCCTCCTGAGATGCCTTGGATGCTGGATGAGTGGAGAGGTCCTCAGAATCTTGCTTTAGCTCTGTGGGTTCATCCTTGGCGTCCTCAGTACTGGACTGAGACTGCAGGAGGGCACTGCCACTGCGCAGACGCGTCTGGAGACAGGGCAAGGAAGACACACATCACCTCTGCCACTCACAATGCCCTTCCACCACCATGGCAAACAATGCTTATCCACTGTTCCAGGATACCTTGTTCAGGTCGGACTGTGCCTCTCTCAGCTTCCGCTTGTACCTCAGGACCTCCCCCTTCAGCTGGTGGTTGTGATTCTGGAGGCTGCTAATCAGGTGCCGCATTTCCCGGTTTATGGGACCTAAAAAAAGCAGCACAGCAATATGAAGATCCCTGAAGAAAGCAAAGGCTCCAAGGCTCAAAGCAAATCGGGAACTTGTGAATAGCAAGGAGAGGTACCAAAAGAAATGCTTTCTCCAAAGATGAAAATCAAATTGCTTGAGTGAATTAAAACAAGCACCCAGGCTTTAGGTCAAATGAATTACAGGATTTGGTTCCAGGCATTCCAGGTCTTCTGAGTTTAAGATAGAATTAACAAATCCCCAAAATCCTGTTTTATTTCAAAGAAAGAATTTACAACAGGACACAGGGTACAGCAAGAGTAATTTGACCTGCTTGTTCGTTGGCGGCAAGGGTTTGCTCAAATTCTATCCTCAGCATTTCATACTCCTTGCGGACCTGGGCCAAGGTATCCTCCAGCTGAATTACTTCAGTTCTCAGCTTCTTATGCAGACTAACCTCATCTCGCTGCAGATAAAGAACCAATAAAACATTCATATAACTTCAATATGTCTCCTAAATTCAATCTGTAACAGTCAAAAAAAATCCACTATGAAAAGAATGCTAACTCTGAAAATTTCCACTTCAATGCTTAAGAAGCACCAGATGTGATTTAGAAACATGACTTTAGAACCTGGCAGAACAATGAAAAGAGGAAATGGCATCTAGCTCTGAGATTACAAGTCAATTGGAGAACTAACCATAAACTGGAAGTAAATAGAAACTAGCATTCAATTTATTTAGCCAACATTCATAAAAACTTCAACTACTTTAAACATTACCTTAGGGACTACAAAAGACACAAAAGTGAATATAAAAATCAAAGTTCTATGTTCAAAATACTTTACCTAAATATGTATTAAATGCCACAAAGGCACAAAGCCTATGTATTCTCCCTATAATGTATGAACTGTAGACGCCGTTCCATGAAAGCTGGTCACAGGGCACACTTCTACTTCTAACTACCAACAGACTTTTCATGTTTATCAACCACTTCCTCATCAGAAAAACCTCACAGTCAAATCAGATGCTCTGTCTGCTCCATACATCTTTAGATAAATACCACTGAATCATGCTGTAACCTAATGAGTCCCATTCTCCCAGTGAACTGTAAGATCCATGAGAGCAGGAACTCTATTGTCTTATATACCCACTGGATGAACAGATAGTAACTACACATGGGAGTAAAACCATACAATTTATTGACACAGCAGAAGAGGGAATGGCTGGCTCAGTGGTGGAGGGCTGGATCCCATACCCACAAAGAAAAGCTCACTGTTACCTCAATGAGCTCAACCTGGCGCTGGTGAGTTCCCCGGGTGCCATGAAGCAGGGTCCGAGCCTCATCCAAGTGGGCTTTCAACTGTAGACTCTCATTGTACAAAACAGAGAACTGGGACTGCATGCAGCGATATTCTGGGGTTTCCTTAACCACTTCTTCCACTGCACTCCGCAACTCCACCTTAGGAAGCGGAAAAGGCAAGTCAGAGTCAGAAGGAAGCCAAGTATGTCCCCAAGTCACACATGGGAAAAAATATCTTAAACTCACTAATGCTCTATACACTTGAAATCATTTCTCAGAAAGTTATAAAATCTATACTACCACTCTGCGTAAACTCGGTCCTGCATAAACTACGGCAATTTTGATACGTGTTTCACATTTTTTTTCAACCCCAATCCAAAGAAGCTGAAGAGCTGCTGGAAGAGTGACATAAAACTGACCTGACCAGCACATTTGCTCTAAAGACAGCTGCAGACGCCAGCCACTAGCTGTTCCTTATTAACTATCACAGAGAACATATTTCTGACTGGTAGTAAAAACAGTCATGCTTTTCCTAAGCAACCATTTGCTTTAATTTCACAAGAATTTTTAGTCTTCACTTTCAGTTCAAATGTCTTTATTATTTATTAACCTAGAAATAAACTATAAGTAACAGACTATGGATGAAAGGAGGATAAGGAAGACTTCCAGAAGAACCTTCTTTTTTCCCCTGAGACTCTGCAAGGGAAAACGCTAACAGGCAGGAATGAACACCAACAGCACTAAGCCGGCATCTACAGGAAACTGCGTAGCCAAATCTATGGCCCATTGTTGGCTATAAAAACCACGTGACCAGCACATGCCCACAGCATGCACATTTTCCTGCCAGTTGCCTAGAAACACTCACCCTGATAACACTCATTTTCACACAAATTCTAAGTCAGAGGACCTTGATTTAATCTAGGAATCTTTACTGGCTACTCTAAGCCTGTTTCAGAACAAGACTTGTACAGACAGTAAGAGCAAAAGCAAGTACGTACACAGCAAACCAACAAGGGCCGCATTTCTCCCCTTTTTACTAGGAATTGAGAGAACTATACACAGTCAGATATACAGCATGGTGTTCTTTTACAAGCTCTGTGTGAAATAAATCCCATTTCAGATGCCATGTGCTAGGTCTTTGTATACTGAAAACAGTTAAGATCTGCTTCCCAAGGTATTTTACGTACAATACAGAATTATCACACTCCAGTCACCATGCTGTGAATGTGTCCACCCATTTAGTCAGCACCTCTCCAAGGCCCTTTCCACCATTCCATTCTCTGCTTCTTAAGAAATCCACCTTCCTAGCACTCATGTATTTCAAGCAGTACTTGTTCATCTGGGTTTGCCTTATTTCACTTAGCTTCATGTCCCCTAGGTTTATCAATGACAACTCAAATGACTAAATTTCCTTTTTCAAGGCTGAGTAACATTCCATTGTACATCTATACTATTTTTAATGTTCCTATAAAATGAGATTGTTTCCATAGTCTGCTGGTAGTGATTTTATAGTCGGCAACTTTACTGAATTCATCTCTAGCTCTCAAGAGCCTCTCCAGTCCGTGTATGTAAGGCCACCACACCTGCAGACTGAGACAGTTTTACTTCTTCCTCTACAATCTTTCCAATCTGGAGCCCTTTTCTCATTCTTGCCCCTTTCTTGTGGTTGTATGATACTGAGAAGAAAGGCAAGAGTGGACATCCTAAACCTTGCAACTCTTCATAGGGTATGTAAGCAGTGGACAGGTCACAAACGGCCTTTACTGTGTTAGGGTACATTTCATCACACCTAATTTGTTGAGCTGTATCACGGAAGAGGCTGAATTGTCCAGTTTCCGTGTCCCTCATAAAGCCTGCAGGTTCACATGCTGATGAACAAATCGCTTGCTTTCTCTCACTCGTCAGAGTCAAAACTCCTACCTTCAACTTTTCATTCTGTGTGGTGACCTCTTCAAAGTCTTGACGAAGCTTCTCTAGCTCACAGTGTCGGTTCTGAGCCAACTCTTTGTTCTCCTCCAGCTCTGCATTCATTTCCTCAAACTGGAAAGGATCAGAAAAACAGCAGGTGAGGATGGAGAGCAAGGGCTCCCCAGACATCCCATTTCCATTCCTGCAAATGCCACTGTGCTGCTTGGAGCCAATCCCAGTCCCTAGGCACAAGGCATATTTCCAATGAAACACCATGTCTCAGGTGGGGCAGACTTTACCTTCCGGGCATTGATGGTGATTGTACCACCATAGAGACTGCTCCCTGCTCCATATACCTTATAGCCTTTAGAATTCACCTACAGGGAAAAGAGAGATGGGAACATTTCAGTTGAATGAGAAAGATGAGTCCTTGAAAAGATGCTTGTGTTTGATAGTTACTACAGATATACAACTGATCAAAGTCCTAAAAACAAGTGACAATCAAGAGCTTAGTGCGCACGCGCACACACACACACACACACACACACACACACACACACACACACGGCCTGCACAAGATCAAACTAATCAACATACTAGCGTGGAAGGAGAATGCATTCACCTTACTCCTAGCTGAAGAGCTACTGGCATTTGATAGCTGCCACGGGAAGGAAAGCTGTTTTTCTTTAGGATTGTGGCCCCAGGTATGTTGCCCACCCATGCGCAGATAACGGTCCTAATAGGAGAGGAGTTCTACAAGATTTTGATGGAGGATGGGTAGCATCAAATACATTGTATACATGTATAAAAGTCTCAAAGAAATAAAGACTATTATATTGGGGGGGGGGGGAGCCAGAGGCTGGAGAGGTAACAGTTCAGCAGTTAAAAACAGTAGCTGTTCTTACAGAAGAACCAACGTGGGAAGCTCCCTGCACCCACACCTGGAGACTCAACCCCACGTTCACACCAGCTCCAGGGGCTCCAATACAGCCTTCTGGCCTCCACAGTCACCTGCACCCATATGGCACATATTCCCTTTCTCTCACATACACATTCATACATATAAGTAAGAAATACATTTGTAAATAATTTTAATAGACTTTATAAAACAACACTGACCCGTTCTAGGACTTCAGCCAAATGTCGGTTGAGCCGCTGTTCTCTTTTTCGAATTTTGTCAATATCCCACTGCAGGTCATCAATCATGGACTCCAAGACAGAAACTCGCGACTCAGCTGTCTCTACTTTACCTTGCAGCTTACAGAACTACATCCCAAAGACAGGGATTCAAAAACAAGAAAAGATCAAGTCAAAAAAGTTCCAAATTCCACAAAATTAGCCCTAGGTCAATTATAGAAAATGCTACAATTATAGAAAAAAATTATTCAACACACAAGTATAATAATAACATCATAGATTCAGTTCTTAAGATTGCTACAATCACAAAAACAGGCAGCTGCTAAGAACTTTCACATAAGAACAAGACCAGTTAAAATTCACTAATCTCTCTACCCATGAAAAGCATCTTTTCCCTAGGCAGAACATGAAGTCATCATAAGATAAAGATTTTTTTAAAAAAAAAAAAAAAGAAAGAAAACATCAAGTATCAAATATTTTGGGAAACATGAATTCAAACTAGTAACATCTCTTAATACCAACTTTCTCTCTATATACACCCAGCAATGATAATTCTCATAGAACAAAAACGGAAACTCCTAGTGTTTTTTTCTTTGTTTTTTAAGCTGACACTTGGGTAGTTTACAATCAGGTTGTATGCGAGTGTGAATGTTTGAATGTGTGTATATGTCCAGGCATACATGTGCCACAGCTTGTTATATGGGGATGAGCAACCTTAGATATAAATTCTTGCCTTCCATCATCTTGTTTGAGACAGAATTTCTTGTCATATGTCACTTTCAGACATCTCTATAGTTTCCACCTCCCATTTTACCTTAGGGAGACAAATATGAGGATTCTGGATCCAAACTACTGCATTCAACTTTATGCAGATTCTGGGGATCTCAATTTCGCATGAAAAGTGCTGTATCCACTGAGCCATCTACCGAGACCAATGCTGTTAAGGAAAAACTGCCCCATGTTCCCATTACTGTCCTCCCAGTAAGAGGGATTTGCTCTTCCCCTGGAACCTAGACTTTAGTAGCCAGCAAAAATTAATACTATGTAACTCTGAGACTATGCCAGAGAGATCATGCAAGGTCTGCTTTGTTTCTTAGCGCACTCAATGTAGGAGGTCAGCTGCCATGTAAAACCTGCAAGTCCTGGTCCTCTAGTTGTCACTCCCAGCTGATAGGCAGCATCAAGAATCAGCAATGAGAGCTGGTTCTACACAAGAAACCAGGGAGCAAATAAAAGATGTACCCGTTTACTATTGCTGAGATTTGGGAAGTGATTCAAAAGGAGACCTTTCCATCTTGGTAGTACCTAGTTAATACCATAAAATATGACACTCCCATTATTGTAAATGCTGCTAAACTATAATCACTTTGATGGGTCATGAGCATCCAAGTCTTATAAACTTCCCAAATAGTGCTCTGACAGCCAGCAGTGTTCTGGGATTCCCCTCTATATGCTGTGAATATCAGTGGTTAATAAAGAAACTGCTTTGAGCCTATAGCAGAAGAGGGCAGAACAAAGCTAGGCGGGGAAAACTAAACTGAATGCTGGGAGAAAGAAGACAGAGTCAGGGAGACAGACACCAGTAAACCACAGCCTCGTGGAGATACACAGATTAATGGAGATAGGTTAATTTATTATGAGTGAGCTAGAAATACTCTAGAGTCATTGGCCAAGCAGTGTTTTAAATAATATAGTTTCTGTGTGATTATTTCGGTCTGAACTGCCGGGTGGCCAGGAAACGAATAAGCGGCCTCTTACAACACAGCAGAGTAAAGAAGTAACTCTAGAGCTTAGGAAACAATGCAGGAAAACAGGGCTCTGAGATTAAGCAGATTCATGAGCAAATCACTTTTTCTAATCATCTGATCTTTTTGTTCACTAATTTTTCAGTTGTTTCCTTGCCAGTAAAACAGGAGCTATTTTATTTACTATTAAGTGCTTAAAATGTTGGGCACCATGTGAACAGCAACTATTAAGTGACTAATCAGCATGAGAGTTCAGTAGCCAAACTAAGGTAGGTCAAATTTCAGCACACAATCAATCATTTGAGCTAACAAAATAATTAGAAGCATGAGAAGAATCATCCAAACCTTCATTACTTTCTCATAAGCCTTTTATGGAGATAAATGCCCAAATCCTAACATGTGTTATTCATGGAACTGGTCTAGAGTAAAAACTCACATCCCCCAAGTTCCTATGGCATCAACCAATGTAGAAGAATTCCCTTACCCCACTCTCTGCTGAACTTACACCTAGCTATTCCTCAGTACCACTGTTCACAGCCTTTTATATTTAGGGCAGTGAATTATTTAGGGATTTACAATATTTGTTGTGTTATGACATTTCTTCCCAATGACGATGATCCCTAACTATCTATTAAACAGAGGCATGAGAAATATTCAGATGTTGATCTCGGAGTTGACTGATATTGCCTCATGCTCTCTTCAACATCAAAGCACACTTTCTAGAATAAAGGGACCTCTCAAAGTTCTCGTCATTTTCACTTGAGATCAGTCAGAGCTACTAAGAATGGCTGTCACTCCTTTCTGGTCAAGTACCTCCTGAGACATGGTGTGGTGCTTCTCCTGAAGGAGGTCTGTCAGCTCCTGGAGCCTCACATTCTCTTGCGCAAGGAAGGAGTTCAGCTCCTGTACTGCTTCCTCCACTATCAGGTTATCTGAGGAAGAAGGACTGCACTTTAGTTTTGCATTGACAGTCTAAGTTTTATTAGAACTCATTACAGATGGTTGTGAGCCACCATGTGGTTGCCGGGAATTGAACTCAAGACCTTTGGAAGAGCAGGCAATGCTCTTAACCACTGAGCCATCTCTCCAGCCCAACAGTCTAAGTTTTAAAACTGTCTAGTGCACCAAAGCATTGCCCTCCCAGCTCACCTCACTGCCCTCAGAACATCAGAAAGCAACCTAGTGCTTACTGGCTCACATATAGTTAGTTGGTTAAATAAATGTGTCAACATGCAAACATCACCTATCCTCATCTCTTTCTGTTAAGACAATTGCCTTGAGCAAATAAATGAATGCTATATTAAATTTATAGAATTTCCATCACCAAAAATGGAGACATTAGGATTTAGAATAGACAAGATTTCTAAGCAGTGTCAAAATTAAAGCAATACAATTTAAAGGCAATAACAAATACCTATTATTGTCTAATATCAACATGAAGCATCTATTGAGATGAGACAGGAAGCAAAATTTTTATCTTCAAATCATCACGTATAAAATCATGAGGAACAAAGATACAGCGCAGGAGTCACTTATCACAATAATTAAGTGTAACTCTAAAGCTCAAAATGAAAAATGTACAGAATATTTATAGATGCACAAGTTACATCTTTAGAGTTTAATATGCTGAATTCATGCATTTAAAATTAGTCACAACTATTACAGTTCAATCTAAAGCACCAAAAGTGGAAACAATTATTCTCAGGATACAAAGTACACATTATCTATAAATTTACAGTTTACATCTTTAGAATTTATTACTCCAATTCATGTGTTCTAAATTAGATTCACAACTATTACAGCTCAATCCCAGAGTTACAACTAGAACTAATTATTCTCAGGAAATACATCATCCTTTAGAGCTGTGGATGGGAATCTGTTTCCAAACCACCTGAAGCCTTTGCTCTCAGAAACCATGAAGATGAGATAAGTCAAGTCGTAAGTTCCCAGTTTCCATCTAGGACTGCCCACCAAAATTAAGTGTGGAACTTTTAAGAAAGACAATTCCCTGGAATCCATTCCAAGCTTACTAACTAAGAATCTCCATGGGCATGGGAAATACATACATAAATAAACGATGACTCTGAACCAACCTCAACTAAGAACTAGCGCCTACATTTTCATTCTTTCCATACCTTAAATTCTGCAGACAGGTTCTAAACTACAATAAAAACCCAGCAAGTGTTTATTAAATTAATAAATAAGTCATAAGTCTAACTCATTTAAACAAGAACCAAACCCATGGGTGAAAATGAATTTCTAAATAAGTTAACACTCAGGATTATAATTCATACCATATGTACCTTTACCTTTTTTAAACACAGATTACTTCTGGGTCACAAAGAGCTTAACTATTTAGAATTTATATATAATAACATTTTTTAAAAACTTAAACCTGATCTTAAAATACATTATCAAAAACTTTTTTCTCTGTATGTGCATGTGTGTGTCCTATGTGTGCAGGCATGTAAGTGCATATGAAGGTCAAAGGATAACAAAACTAGTTTTCTCCTGCCACCATGTGGGATCCAGAAATTGAACTCTAGTTGGCAGGTCTAAATGCAAGCACCTTCAATGCTAAGCAATCTTGCAGACCCAGAACTCCAAAATATTTCTTAGTAATGTTTAATATACTATTCAGGTTAATTTTTTTACAAATAGAACAAATAATGTACTTGATATTCACTTAAAATACCAAATTTAACATCAAAATAACCTCTGCACATGGTATATTCCCCACATTACTATGATTTAAGAATACCCTCTAGATAAGCAATTAGAACCAAGGGAGACAGAAGTATCACAGTTTGTTCTATAGTAATCGGAAAGAGTAATTACACCCATTCACTCCCCACTGTGGTATCCTAACTAATAATAAAAACACAAACATATTAATTACTACACTAACCAAAAACAAAAGCAAAACTTAAAAACTTCCTTGAAAAATAAAACTAAACTATAGAACAATTTATTTCTTACTTGCCCACCCAATGAATAAACCATGTTATACCTAACTAATTTATTTTGGAGACAAAGTTAAATATCTTGATGATAATCGGGGCTGCTAAAATACTACAACCAGAGGGCTAGAGCAATGTCTCAGTGGTTAAGAGGGTGGTTCAGTTCCCAGCAATCCACGTCATGTCCAGGAGACTCTAATGCCCTCTTCTGGTCTCCTCAGTTAACTGCACTCAAATGTATATACAACTGACCACATACATATACCCAGTACATCTTTTATTAAAAGATATTATAACTAGACCATGGCTACTATTGAAAACTTAAAATCAAGGTATTTTATTTGCATTAGTAAATATCTTTGGGCATTTTAGTACACTTTCTATACTGCCTGGACATAATTTATATAAACTCAGTAATAGTAAGTATTCCAAATGGTAATTTTATTTTAAGACTTTTCCATCCCTTCACACAGGGGAGTTTTATTTTACTACCTCATCTAACACTCTTTAAAAACATCAACAAATAAAAGAGTACATTAAAACCCACCTTTTGAAGTCAGAGCAGTTAAAACTAATTCTGCTGTTTATAAAAGTTTATAGTCAGCATGGTCATGCTCAGCACACTGAGAGTCACGAGGTTTAAACTCCAAGGAATTTAATTAAACTGTGTTCTCTTCTTTTCTGCTTTTTGGTGCTGGGAACAGAAGCCAGGGCCCAGTGCATATCTAAGCACATTCTACCACTCGGCTGTACCCTGAGCCTCACAGGGCTGAGATCTTCCCCTCCCCAAGGCTCCCAGCCTCCAGCTTCTCGCCTCACCTCCACTGTTCAGCTTCCGGGATAAGAGGTCCACTTTTTCTTGCAGTTTATCATAGACAGTCACAACCTGGGACACAGCACGGCGAGAGGACTCCACCCGCTCCTGAAGCTGCGATTCCATCTCTTCACTGGAACTGCTGGCCAAGGTAGCAAGGAAAGAGAAAGCTGGCTCTTGCCCTTCCCCTGAGGATAAAATGAGAAAAAGAAGCCCCCCAAAATTATAATTCTGGCAATAGCAAATCAGTCTTCAAATGGAGAGCCTCAAAGCAAAGTTCAACTTCAAAAACTTAGGTAAGTAAGGCAATTACAAAATAGTCCCCCAAAGACACAGGGAGAGAAAAAGAAATCCCCAAAGTATAAAGCTAGAAATAGCAAAACCCACTGCGCCCCTCAACTGGAGGGCAAAGCTCAAACTCAGCACCTGGGTAACCAACGCAGTAAAAGAATTCCTCGTCAACTTGCCTCTTTCACGGTCATCTTTGCGCTCCTGATTGCTATCAGAGTCGGGTTCTGGCTCTGGCACAACCAGGGCTTTCCTTTCTGTGAGTAGGTCTCCCAAACCCTGGTCCAGATCATAACGTTTAAGGATGATACGAATGTTTTCATCGAACTAGAGAAGAATAGGGACAGTTAACAAAAAGAAAAGGCAAAGGCTGGGGAACTAAGAGAGCACTAAGGATGAAAACGCTGATATGAATCTGGGTGAACATACAAAGTCGCTACCTGGCTCCAGTACCGGTTCACAATCAACAGTGAGGCATCGTCAGTTGCCTGGCGTCGCTCGAGTTTTTCAATGTGTTCCCGAAGTTCATCTTCAATGGCCTGTCTCTGATCTAGCATTTCTGCTAGTTTACGGTTTTTGGATTGCAGTGTTCGAATGTCTAACTCCTCCTGCCCCAGGAAACCAGAATTAGTCTCCACAAATCAGACGAATGAGCTGTTAAACTCAACAAGCTCACAACAGTTCATTAGCTATTTTTTATAAATAAACAAATCTTAACTCAGCTGTTAAGGGCTTATCACACAAACATGAACACCTAAGTTTGATCCCCAGGGCCTACTTCTTTTTTTTTTTTTTTAAATTCTTTTTTTTTTTTTT